CTCTCACATTCTTCTCACTGTGATGTTTCTCTCTCTCCCCCGCCCCCCACCACTCTATGTGAAGATAAATAAAAAAATATCCTCAGGTGAGGATTAAAAAAGAAAAAAAGAGTCTGTATTTGTCTTAAACCTTTGGCATTATAATTATAATGTGTCTTGGTTTGGGGCTCTTTGGGTTCATCTTGTTTGGGACTCTGTGCTTGCTGTATTTATATGTCTATTAGCTTTGTCAGGTTAGGGAAGTTTTCAGTCATTCTTCAAATAGGTTTTCAATTCCTTGCTCTCTCTCTCCTCCTTCGGGTACCCCTATGATATGAATGTTGGTATGCTTGATGTTGTCCCAGAAGAAGCCCCTTAATCTATTCTTATCTTTTAAAATTATTTTTTCTTTTTACTGTCCCAATTGGGTGTTTTCTGCTGCCTTGTCTTCCCAGATTGCTGATTCAATCTCTGCTCCATCTGATCTGCTGTTGATTCCCTGTAATGTATTCTTTGTTTCAGTTAATATATTCTTCATTTCTGACTAGTTATTTTTTTAGGTTTTGTATTTCTTTGTTGAAGTTCTCACTGAGTTCATCTAGTCTTCCCCAATGTTCACTGAGCATTCTTTTAACCAGTGTTATTGAACGCTGTATCCGGTAGATTGCTTGCCTCCGTTTCGTTTAGTTCTTTTTCTGGAGTTCATTTATTTGAGACATGTTTCTTTGTCTCCTCATTTTGGTTGTCTCCCTGTGTTTGTTTCTACGTATAGGTAGATCTGCTGTCTCCCAGTCTTGGCAGAGTGACCTTATATAGTAGGTGTCCTGTGAGGCCTGATGACACAGTCTCCCTATTTATCTAAGCCAGATGCTCCAGGTGTATTCCTTGTGTGGGCTGTGTGGGCTCTACTGTTGTAGTTGATTCTTGATTGCTGTTGGCATATCAATGGCTGAGATTGACTGTCAGGCTGGCTGGCTGTGAAGGCTGGTCGTGGCTACATTGGACAAGCTATTAATTGGGGGCTAACCCCATGGAGCAGGAGTTGCTTTAGCAGGACTCTGGTGTCAACTGAGCCTGAACTTTGGTTTGTCATTTGTGGAGCTTATTAGTGGTGCCTGGTGTGGTCTGAAGCTGGCCACTGGGTGTGTTTATTCTGGAGTCTCTTGGGAGGGGCTTGGAGGCACTTTGGGGAGGCTATGCTGAGAAGCAAGTCCGGCTGCCACTAGTGCTGGTATTGGACTGCTTGGTGGGTACCAGATGGTGAGCTGAGGCCAACTGCCACTTGTGGCTGCTTAGTTGAAGCTTTGTTCCAGGACAGCACTGGCTATAGCTTATGCCAGGCTTAGTGCCCCCTGATGGGAGTTATAATGCAAGTTGGGACTGGGTTCTGCTTATGCCAGACTTGGGGCTGCTTAGCAAGAGGGACAGGCCATACTGAGGCCAGCTACTGCTAAGTTGGGGTTTGTGGACCATTGAGAAATTTTAGGAAAGTCCTCAGCATGAGCCAATGCAGGCCACTTGTGTGGAGAAACTGCTGGAGGTGGCCCGCTGCCCAGGATTCTTGTGCTCTCTCCTTGGAAAAGAACTCACTGCCCAACATGCCAGTCTGTTATAAATGGGGAAAGAAAATGTGTTCTTCTTTCCACACTTTTGTCTTTTGCATCCACGTGTGTGTGTGTGTGGGTGTGTGAGTGTGAGTGAAACAGGTGGGTGGTTTTAAAGGCGGCATTGGAGGCTCAGAAGCAGCAGTTGTTGGGGTTTCAGAACTCATTTTCGCCTCTGCAGGTGGAAGACTCTGCGAGGTGACTTCTTACTGGTGTAGCCTCAGCCTCACCCGCAGGCTGCCCTTGGCAAACAGGGTGATCCGAGGAGTTCTGGAAGGATTCCACAGTCAAGCAGATCTCTGACTCACTTGCCTTGCGGCCCATTTTGAAATTTTACCCTTTCGTGTTAATCTTCTTTTATTTATTATTTTTAATCCTTACCCGAGGATATTTCTCCATTGAGTTTTAGACAGAGTGGAAGGGAGGGAGGGAAACATTGATGTGAGATACATCGATTGACCGCCTTCTGCACGACCCCCAACCGCGGCTGGGAACTGAACCCGAGACCCTTCGGTTCACAGGGCAACGCTCTAACCGCTGAGCCAAAATGGCCACGGCAATCTTCTCATTTTTAATGTCCCAGCAGCCCTGAAAAGGATTACCAGTTCATCTCTGGCTGATGAGGTAGTTGAATGGCCCTCGCTGAGGGGTGTCAGGAGACCCCATCTAGTCTTAGCTCTAAATATGAATTACTGGGTAATCCTTTTCGCATCTGCTTATCTCTTATCTGGGTTTTGTTATCTTTGGGAATATCTCTCACCACATCTTGTGGGAACATAGGTTAGCTGGGGTAGGAAGGGCTCATGACGCTGAAAATCAATCACTTTTTTCCTGTTTTTTGTTTTTGTTTTGTTTTGTTTTGTTCAGATAGAGTGGGACAGGGAGAGAGAGAAACATCGATGTGAAAAGGACACATCGAGTGGCTGCCACCCGCACGACCCAACAAGGGCCGGGGACAAACTGCAACCAAGTTACATGCCCTTAGCGGTAATTGAACCCGGGTCTCTCTGGACCGCAGGCCGATGCTCTAACCGCTGAGCCAAACTGGCCAAGCCAGCCTTGCTCTGCTGAGCTGGGGTCCGAGGAGAGGCTGTGTGGATACTGCTGTGCCTCGGTGGTTGTGGTCCCTGAGGGGCCTGGGCTTACCTGTCCCCGGGTGACCTGTGCGGGGCTGGCCCCTTGGGTAGACTGACTGAGTCGGTGGAGAGATGGTGGCATCTAAATGTGGGCAGAAGAGGGTTCTGAGGCAAGACGGTGCATGGAGGGCGAGCTGGAGACTTGTCCTGGTGCCTTATTTAGGTTGTGAGCAGCTTTTCCTTTTTGGGTGGTCGCTGGAGATAACTGCTGGAGATTATAGGAGATTGAAGCCCCCCCCCCCCCTTAAACAGTTTAGCACCTGGAATGAGTCCAAGCCTGTCTCAGGGAAGGGGGCATCCTAGCATCAGCCCCATTCTGACGGCTGGAATGGGGGCGCCCTGCCCTGCCCCTCTGAAGGTATTGAAGCTCCTTAATATCTACTGATCTGAATAAGGCACCTTGGGGCCTCAACGGCTCAGGGGGTCCATTATCTTCCCAGGTACGGGTGCTGCCCTCCTGCCTTCTTACACTCCTGCTGAGACCAGCTCCATCTGTGGTTTTCTCTAACAGCAGGAGTCACCTTGTTGCCCAGCTCTGGGAACACAGCGGAGAACGGATAGCAGGGTCCCTCCCTCCTGGGATCTTGCACCGTGTGTGCATGTGTGTGTACGTGTTTGTGTCGCACGTGGGGCATTCAGTAGTAAGTCGATTTACCAGGGGTCATTCCTAGACTGTAATCATCCTCCCCCAAATGGCTTTAGAACCACAGGGTATCAGGATCAGCCCATTCCCCACCTTTAGCATTTGGGATACTAACCGAACCTTAGTTGGAAGTTGAAGCCCAGTGAAGGGATTTGTCCAGAGTCACAGCAGAAACCGCTGGCAGAGCGCACTTGACATCTGGCCGCCAGCCTCCTGGCCTGTTTCCCTGCCCTGGCTGCAGGAGGCCCTCAGGTGCAGCTGCTCCTCCGTGGATGCTAGGTGGCACCAGACCGCCTTTGAGCGCAAAGACTGCAGTCTCTGCTCCTGTCTGCAAAATGCCAGAATCCGCCTCGCAGGAGTCCTGAAGTTTGAGTGGGCGGCTCTTGTGCCCTCGAAAGACCTACCTGCCTGGGGCATTGCCCCAGCTCGTGGTCCTCACCTGCTTTATCAGTGCAGGCCTGCCTGGGTCTCTCCTGCCTGGGTTCCACCCTGCCTGGTTCTCTGGTTACCTGGGCGAGTTTCCTCCTGTGGGCTTTCTTTCTCCTGGGGGCTCTGTGTGCAGAATGGCAAGTTCTGGCTGGGTGAACAGCTCGGGAGTGGTATTTGAGTTTTGGTTCTCCTTAGGCACTATCTTCTTGACTTTCTGAAGCTTTTGCATGGGTGAGCAACCCAGCTGAACCTGGTGTGGGCCTTCCCCAGAGCACCTTGCCAGTCTGTGACAGGGTTGGGATGGAATTCAGGCTCGCTAAGCACTGTGCTACCTTGTCTGTCAAGAGGATGTTGAGAAGGCCAGACCGCCTGTTGTCTGGTCCCGGTCTCCCATTTGTGTGGCTCTGGCTAAGAGGGTAGGCTCTGGTTTCAGACTTCTGGAACGAGAGTGCCACCTCCCCACTTGTTAATGGTGTGACCGTGCCAAATTCATGTAACCTCTCTCTGCCTCGGTCTCCTCTTTTGTAAATGGGCTGTGGTGGATTGCAAATGGTGTCGCATTTGTTTGTAACACCTCCTGTTGAAGGTGGAGTATCTTTTCCCACCCTCTTCTGACTGGGCTGGCCTTGGGACTTGTTTCCATAGAACATGGTGGCAGTGATGATGTGTGAGTTCTGAGCCTAGGTGTCAAGACACTTTGCAGCTTCTGTTCCTACTTGCAGAACATTGCTGCCACGTGACAAGGCTGGCCGATGTGAGGAGAGGCCACGCAGGGGGAGCGCCCAGCCACCCGCCCAAATTGCCTACTCACAGCACTGTGAGGACACGAGTCATTGTGTTAATCTACTAAATGCTGCGGATGGTGCCTTATGTCCCCACTGCTAAATGACACAGGGAGGAAGACTAGTTCTTGCCTGGCAGGGTTGCTGTGAGTGAGGTTTCCATGCACTGAGGCCAGCACCTGCCCCCAGGAGCTAACACAGTGGTCACTTCTAACGCTGTCGTGGGTACTTCCTCCTACTCACTGGGTTCCAGTCACATGGACCTCTTTTCTCCTTTTTCTTAGTTTTTTGATCTACCAAACTACTTCCTTCTGCAGGGACTTCATACTTAATTCTCTCACGGTTAGGGTGTCAGCCGAAACATCTCGTTCTTGGCGTGGCCGCCTCTGATTGGAACCACCCCCTCTCTTCTTGTCTCCCCTCCTAGACTGTAAGTCCCTTGGGGGCAGGAGCTGGGCCTGTTGGTGTTCCTTCTTTTCTGCTTGCTGCCTACCACATGCTGTGAACAGCGGGCGCTGCTTGAGATCTGCTGAGCAGGTGAGTGAAAAGGGGCACCTCATCCATCTGGGCAGGCTTCCAGGGAGAGAGGAGGAGCTAGGACAGAGTTTCAGACACAGGAGACTGTGTGCTACTTCTAATTCTTGTAGCCATTTTGGTTTGTGCCACACTCTTACACTGGATCAAACATGTTCCTGACACTTTATGTCCAACAAGGCTGTGAGCTTCTTTAGGACAGATGAGTTCCTCGCAGTTCCTACCACATCACCAGGCGTCTAGTAGGGACTTAACAGAAGTTTACTGGGTAGATAAATGGATGGCTGGGTGGATAAGTGGATGAAGGAGTGAACAGATGAGTGAGTGCGGAGAAGGATGGATGGACAAGAGAGAGAGGGTCTTCAGAACTGCAAGCGATTCTGGAAAACCATGTTTGTTTATTTTTTTCTTTTGATAAAGGATGACACATTTCCAGTCCATCAGTAAAAGGTCATGAAAGTATAAAAATGTATTAAGCACAATCACTAACATTATATTAAAGAGTTGTTATAACCTTTTCCCCTGTGGTGGCATGTTGGACGGTCACAGTTGATTTGGTTTACACAGAAGGGCAGGAGTAGGTGACCAGTTGGCCCAGGACTGAGGAGTTTCCCAGCACATGGGCCTTTCAGTGTTAAAACTGGGAAAATCCCAGGCTCACTGGGATGGTTGGTCATGCAAGAAAGAGCAGCATCACAATGATGGGCATGGTTTGTCATTTAGATGACATTCTCTCAACTTCTCCATCACCTCTTTTCCTCTTAGCTCTGAAATAAATATCCCTGTGTTATTATCAAGGGTGTTACAGTTTTCGAAGGCCCCTCCCCCCCCTCCTCCCCGCAATGTAATTTTGACTTGATCCTATGCCAGGCCTGGGAGATAGGGCACTTCTGCCCTAATTTGTAGGTGTGGCATCCTGCTTCAAGGCTCCTGGATCTTGAGAGCAAAGAGCTATGTCCCAACCTCTTGAGGTGTTTGGTCTTCCCACTCCTTTGTCCTTTTCTGAAGCATCCTGTCTCAGCTGGCTTTCAGGCTGGGCAGGAACCATATGGAGAAAGGGGCCTTGAGATCCCAATGTTGGCTCAACCCCCTCTTTTGGGACAATTCATGTCTTACTGCTTTGCCTGCTGTATTTCTCCTTTTGCAATCCTCATGTAGGATTCCTCTGAATCCCGCCAGCTGGCCAGTGCCGGTGTCGTCATGTGGCAGAGTCAGTGAAAGTGTTTTGCCACCAGTATGATGCTGCAAGTGGATTCTCCAGGTTTGGCAGCAGGATGGTCAGAGGACCAGCTCAGTCTGCCATCTTGGTTGTTGAGATCTTTTTGGGCATCGTTGCCTGGAAGTTACTCAAGTGAGGTGGCTATGACTCTTAGGCATTCATTTCTAACCTACAGGGATTTTTGCCTAATATATAGGCACCACCTTAAGGAGAAAGGGTTTAGTGGTCCTCCTTGACTTATCTTAAAGACTAGGGACATGCTCTCCTTGCCCATAGCAGACCTAGCTTCTCTTGCCAGCCCATTAGAATTCTATCATCCATTCTTTTATTTCAACACTGTTTTGAGTTCCGACATATTTGGTATTTACTACCTCTAGGGGTAAGAAGCCTATGTAATCCTTGGTCTCCCCGTGACTCTCCCTAATTTTATGGAAGCATGTACTGGTGTCCTCCAGATGGCGCTCCTCTGGGATAGGCTAAAGAACAGTGTTTAACATTGGCCCTACCCTTTAAGATGTCATTGTTTGGGCTCAGAATCGCACGTATCATATCTGACTATTCTGGGAGCAGCTATGCTAAGATCTACTGATCTTAGAGTTTTCCTGTTCTGAGAGCTGAATGAAGATGGGTCCTTTAATATAAAAACAAGTAAAATAAATAGCTTAAATAATAAAAGTGCTGCCATCTTGGTAGATTCCCCAGGCTGTGGGACATGTCACCTGCCAGCTAAAGCATGGGGCTTCTGGTATACCCATTTCTTTTAGTATGCTTCTGCTCTTTCTGCCTCTCTTACAGTAGGTGTGGCCCTACCACCCTCAGAAGTGTCTGTGGCACTGAGTTCAAGTGCAGTTTTAATCTTTTGATGTGGTTTTCTTTGACTTAGAGACAAAAAGCGACCCAACTCTTTGTGAATGGAAGGGCTGTTAACCTTGGCATGGCCATCTCTGCAATACAGTCAAGATAATAACGCACCTGTGTGTATGGGGCTCTCCTGAAACTTAAACTTTGGCACCTGCTGGGTGAGGTAAGGTGTGACAAGCCCAGAAACTTCCATAGCCTGAGATCGCCTGGGGTGATACCTTTCCCAGAATCTTGGAAACTTACGCATTGGGCTGTAGGCTGTACTTACCTAGAGGATAAAGAGAACTCTCTGAGCTAAAAAAAATAGGGAGAACTCAGTGCCATAAAAACAGAGCCTCTTCATAAAACCTGTTCGCCAGCTGTGCTGCCCAGCAGCAGGAGAAAGCGAGAGGCGACTGGTTTCCAGTCTTTTTTGGTCAAACCCCTTGGGGCCAGCACTTCCTCTAAGGAAGTCAAGCCTGGTGGGAGAAGAGGGAGACTGGCCCATTCTTTCCTCCACGAAGAGGAAGAGCCTTGGGTTCATTAGGCCCGTGACTGGGCGGCCTCCCCTGAGTTTGCACAGATTTCTGCAGGCCCCTCATATGGTCAGTGAACTCTGGGATCGGCGATGGTTGCCCCTGCTCGAGCGTTGGTCTTCATCAGTCTGTCCACTTGGGTAGGCCCCGGACGCCATCCTGCTACTGGGCCCCAGAAGAAGGTGATCTCTGGATGAGAGTATAGCTGAGGAGTCTGCTGAGCATGGGTCATCCCTCGTGTGGTCTCCGTGCACTCCCCGGTCCTCCTTGCACTTCTTCCTGGGAGGGCTAGACTTTGGGGTGCTGGCTCTGAAGGCCTGTTCAGAGACAGGTGGCACTCGATGGTGGGCGCGCTGAGCCTCTCCAGGGACAGGGGCGGGCATCTGTCTACCTCTCCAACTCTGGATTTTCAGTTCTCTTTTGTCTGTGGGGAGTTTGTCGATTTTCTGAGCTTTTGAGATCAGAGACTTCCCATACGTCCCTTGTAGAGCTAAGAAAAAGTACCTGGTGGGAAATGAGAAACAACAGAATAAAGCTGTTTTCTAATTTTCGTCGACTTCTTGAATTTTAGCATTAAAAAGGGACCTTAGAATCCAACTCCCCACCCAGGGAGAGACTGTTTTTGCTGCGCTCCTGACTGATGATGATCAAATCTAAGCCAGGGCACCTCTGAGATTTGGGAGTTCAATAACAGTATGTAATAGCTAACATTTCTTACGTCCCAGAACTGTTCTAAATGTTTCAAGTATTAGTAACTCATCTTTCCCAGCAATCCCACGGGCTGGTTCTTCTGCTTCCCCCTTGTTACACAAGAGGCAACTGAGGCAGTGAGCCACACTGTGGTCAGAACCAGGCGCCCTTTGTGGAACATGAGTGGTTTCTAAGTGCATATTGTCAGGGGTGTGCAGAGAGCAGGGGGCCCGAAGAATGGCTCCTCTGTGTATAACACATCCAACAGGAACTTGGGTTTACCACTCACAGGTGGCAGGATACCATGACCTTCCTGTGACATTATACCCCATACATGGGGAAAAGACCCAAAACATATTCTCTTCTTGAATCTGTGGGCCATGCTGATGTCACAGCATTGCTGTCTGTTCGCCATTTTCCAGATGGAGAAACTGAGGCTCCAGGAGATGAGATGGGTTTCCCAAGGTCTCCTGAGCAGTTGCGAGATCTCCCTGGTGGTTAGTCCAGGGTTCCTATCCCTGGCCAACCTGCGTGTAGCCCCTATCAGACTCTGGGGTGGGAGTCTTTTCCTGTTCCAGGTTTGGGGAAGAAGAAGGTGAATAAAATTGTGTGGTCTACGGAGAAAGCATATTCCATGTTCCCTCTCTGGGTATCAATTTCTTTATCTAAAAAGTAGACATCTAAAGTCTTTCCCCCCAATAATCCTATTTAAAGTTTTTATTTCTAAAGCCTTTTAAGCAGACAGGCTGCCATTCGTCCACTATGTCAGAAGGCTTTGAGTGACCTCACAGCGGGCAAGGGGTTTCTGAAGACCCCAGGGCATCAGGTAAACTTCCCCATCGTTTCTCATCTCACCCAGAGGCAGTACAGGTGGGCATGTTTATTTCAGGGCATGTTTATTTCAACTTCCCGCCTGGAAACTGGACTTTTCTCAGTTTAACCTTTCCCCCAAGCCCCTACTTTCTTTCTCCCTCCATATATTCAACAAGTACTTATCAAGTCCCTACAATGGGCCACACACCAAGCGATTAAGCGGAGAACAGGACAGACGAGTTCTTGTTCTCCTGAGGCACCTGAACAGAGTTAAAAGCAGAAGGAGCAATGAGCGTCAGGCACTGATCTGGTGTTTGACACCTTCCTTGGGGAAGAAACATTTAGGCTGAGGACTGAGGGATGCAGAGGAGGTGGCCAAAGAACCACATCCATGCACGAGGCGGAAACGGCGGAAACGTGGGGAGCAAGGACAAGAGTGGGGATGGAGACAGAAGGGAGGGCAGGGTCAGAGCAGGCGAGGACCGAGAGTCATGTTTTGGTGTTTGTGCTTTATTGTGAAGGCTCTGGGAAGCCCTGGGCAATGATCAAGCCTATGGCATGATCACACTTTGACACACTGAGAATGTATTAGAGTGAAGCCCAATAAGAGACTTTTTGAAGTAATTTGCGATGAAAGGATGATAACCTTTCATCCTTGGTTGTAGAAATGGAAATGGCAAATGGATTTGAGAAACATGTAGCAGAATTGTCAGATCTTGGTGATGGGCTAAGATGTGAGCCTGAGAGGTTGGTGGTCCCAACGGTTACTTTCAGGGGTCTGCCTTGGTCCTAATGGGGTAGCATTTAGTTGAAGAAACTCTGGAAGAGACCCAGCTTTCTTGGATGGTGATAAAGAGAGGATCATGACTTAAATTATAGATGTCTTCCAATTTCTTCGAACTTGCATGCCTGGTGGAGGCGGTGAGTAAGTAGCTGGAAAGATGTATCTGGAATTCAGAGGGGAGGTCTGGGTTGGGAATTACTATTGGAGATTCATCTATTAAAAATATCTTGCCCTGGGCAGTTTTTCTCAGTGGTTAGAGCGTCGGCCTGCGGTCCGGAGAGACCCGGGTTCGGTTCCCGCTAAGGGCACGTACTTCAGTTGCAGTTTGTCCCCGGCCCTGGTTGGTCGTGCGGGTAGCAGCCACTCGATGTGTCCCTTCACATCGATGTTTCTCTCTCTCTCTCCCTTCCTCTCTCTCCCTCCCCCTCTATCTGTACAAAAAATGAAAAATATCCTTGGGTGAGGATAAAAAAAAAAAAATTTATCTTCACAATAGTGGTTGCTATGTCTGTGGAGAGACCAAGGTTTGACCTACACCATGTCAAGGACATGAAGTAGGAGAAAAACCGAGTGTTGGGCAGAGTGTCCAAGGATTGGTGCCCTCTACTGTAGCTAATTAAGATGCTCATTATGTGTTTAAAATTTGTGTTAGCTTCTTTTGTTTCCATCTGCAAAACTATTTGCATATTTCTAGTTTAAGAGAATCTGTACAGTTGGTTGAATTAATTAGACTAAGATTAGTGAGGTCATGGTTAGTGGGCTAATTATCACAAGGGAAGTCTACCCCCATTATGATAAATACAGCTTATAACCTTAAGTGAACAGTTTTCTATAGCAAACTTTCTATCATGTAGATTTCTATAACAAACATTAATTTTTTTCAAGGTTACAAGTCAATAATCCTTGGAACTATTAAAATAATCCTTTCTCAGAAGAACACTCTTTGCTTTTCTTAGTAAACAGAATTAAACAGACTTTCAACTTTATGATGATATAGATAATATAGAATAAGCGGAGATTTAACTTATGTGCTATGGTAACTAACAAGTAAATATTTGCTAGCTTTCCCCTGGCTTGTCTATCTGTTTAACAAGCTGTACTGTTCAATGCTTATCTTTGCAAAGCATGTGTCAACAGTCTCTATAATTTTCAAGGATTCTTATCAGGCTGGTAGCTTTTGGCACCAACTGCATCTTCTGGCCAAGGGTAAGGCAAAGAATATGGGGCTGATAAATTTCTATTTTTATACCCCCCCCAAAAGACACACAGAACAGAGGAGCTCAATCCTTGGTCAGTAGTGATCGCAACCATGTTTAACCGTAAAAGTATTTATTCCACATATCTGATGTTCTTTTCCAATGAGGGCATAATCCTTATGGTCTCTCCCAGGCTCCATCTCCGAGAGGTTGGGCTGAAGAAGCAGGGTGGTGGGAAATATGTCCTCTGAGGCTTATTCTTTTTCTTAATGGTTTCCCACTCTTCATTCTCAAGGCCCTCTATCAATACTAGTCTCTGTGACTCTGGTATTATATAGTTGGTTATAGAATAAGGAGGATACCATCTGTCCGGGAGTTAATGGTCAGACAGAGACAGACAGTTTATAACAAACAGGGTAAAGGGCAGTGACAGAGATACACCAGGTGATGGAATTGGTGCTGCCTGAAATAATGTCAAAAGGCGAGGAGCTCTGGTAATGGGAAGGGTGTTTGAATAGAGAGGAACAGCATAAGGTAGGGGAGGAACGCGAGAGGGCAGTACAAGGAGTGGGGAGATGAGGCTCTAGGAAGAAGTAGGGGTCAAGCCGGGAGGCCAGGCACAGCGCATGTTTAGACTCAACCCACGTGTGTTTGACATCTTGGTATCTTCAGCCTCCAACCCTGCATCAGAGGTCAAGGTTCTGAGGTGGCTTAGGAAGAGGAAATGGAGACCCGCCTGGGGTAAGCAAGCTGCCACATTTATTAAAGGAAGCACCAGCTACCGAGTTTGGATTAGAGAATATTCTGTGCAGTGTTGGGGTGGCCTGCTTTTTACGACAGCTTGTGAAGGGGCTGAATTTCGATGTTCAGAGTGGTGAGATCCCGAGGATGGGGAGGGACTATGTTTTGTCTGTGGGTGTATCATTGTCAAGGTCACTGATTGCTCTGACTAGACAGTGTGGATGGAGACCAGGACATTGGCCACGAACTTGGGAGAATCCAGCCCCCACTGGGATTTGTGGTGAGCTTGTGGACACATTCTGGTCCCTCTTGGGACACGAGTTGTTCGTGAGCAGGTGGATTGGAACCACAGCTCCTCCTGACTTCTAGGCGATACCGAAAACAAAATGAGGGGCTAGATAGGAGCGTGTGTGCCCAGAGCAAGCTCCCAGGAAATGCAAGGCACTGTTGCTATTTTTTGTGTGTTTTCCTGGAAAAGGCACATGCAGAGGATTGAGGCTGAAAATGATAGAAATAGTCCCTGGGCATGAATGATTTATTTGGTTAATACATCACATGTGTGTGTATTAACATTTGGGTATTTGATGCAAAATTTGAATTTCTAGGGAAAATCTGAAGCTCTGGAATGCTAAATGTGATCATTCCTGATGACAGTGAAGGGGGAAGAGAAGATCACTCTCCCCAGGTCTGTACTTCAGCTGCTCTGCTGCAGTTGCTTGCCTGTCTCCGTAGGCAGTTGAGTGTAAGGCTGCTGGGCTAATACAGAACCACAGAACTTTTCAAAATGATCTCTTATATACAACAAAATCTGTAAGTCTGGAGGGTAGGAATTGTCACTCTCTTACAGATGTCACAACTAAGACCATGCCAGATTTGGTGACTTGGCGACTCTGCGGCTGGCCTGGGACTAGAGTCCATGGTATTTGTCTCCGGTTTCATTGTTCTTTATGTCTCAGGACCCTATCTTTGGAACAGTAGCCTCCAGGATCTCAGCTAGGAGTCAGACTGCTGCCTCCTGGGTTATGGAGGTGGCTCACTGAGGGGAGATTGGTAGTTCTAGGAGGAAAACAGCCCCACCCAGTGCTCAAACCTTGGGAGAAGAGCCGCAACCGGTGTGAGGAAGCAGACGAGGTAGAAAGTGGGGTCTGAGAGCTGGACTTCCATCACCCCGTATGGGTTGGTGGGACTGTTGCAGGTGACGCAGGTGGCGTTGTACACTAGGGATACCACGAAGTACATCAGGAAGCTGCCTAGGAGAACCAGCCCGTGGATGAAGGTCTGCGGAAGGGAAGAAGTCAACACTGTTGAAGGCAGATCTTAGATCAGGGGCCAGTGCAGTCAAGCTGCTTGGCTAACTTTGTTTCAAGCTGCTTTTTTGGGAAATGCTCTACACACAACGTTTGAACACACATATCTCAATCCTTTGATGTTTTATCACCTTTCTATGTTTCTTTACATAGACTGTTTTTTAAATGTTAGTAAATAGCATCACATTTTGTGTAATTTCTCACCCCCATCAATATTACGTTTGTGTGATGAATCCATGTTTTGCACACGTGGCTGTAGTTTGTTCTCCAAGGTCAGTGACATTGTCTAATCTTAGTTTGTTCTGCCTGTTTGTGCTGCTTTCTTTCCCTGATCTGGTCCTCTTGTAAACTCAGTGACTATTTGGTATACTTTTATTACCCCTCCTTTACTACTTGGAAAGTTATGACCTCCACGTCTGTTACTTCAGTGATTGCTCAATAAATGGCAATAAGCAGTCTTAACGTACCACAGTGTCAAGTTTAGGGCTACTTTCTCTCTTCCTGAATTATACAAGGGTGTTAGAGCACCCTGTTCACCTCCCTCCCAGCATATCTTATTGCTGCTGTATATTTTAATTTTCTTGTCTTTTTTTTATCCTCACCCAAGGACATTTTTCCATTTTTTGTTCAGATAGAGCGGGGAGGGAGAGAGAGAGGAAGAGAGAGAGAAACATCGACGTGAAGGGACACATCGAGTGGCTGCCACCCGCACGACCAACCAGGGCCGGGGACAAACCGAAACCGAGGCATGTGCCCTTAGCGGGAACCGAACCCGGGTCTCTCTGTACCGCAGGCTGACGCTCCAACCGCTGAGCCAAACCGGCCAGGGCAATTTTCTTGTCTTCTTAAAGCACACGTGTTGTTGTTATAGTTTAATGTGGTCAATACTGATTAAGATTTAGTTATGTTTACCACTTTTGATGCCTTAATTCTTTCTTGCATCTTGGACCTCCCATCAGAGATTTCTTTCCTTTAAGTACATCCTTTAGAATTGCCTTCAGTAGGAGTCTGTTGGTGATCTGTTCTCTTATGCTTTATTTCATTCTCACTTTTGATGGACGTAACATTTTTGTTTGGCAGTTATTTTCGTTCAGCATATTTAAGATAGCGTTCCACCATCTCTGGGCTTCCATTGTTGCTACGGAGAAGTAAGCAATTCATCTGTTGTTCCTTAGAAGGAAATCTATCACCTAAAACCTGCCCTGCTTTTTTGATTTTTATTTTGTCATTAGTGTTCTAAAGTTTTCCTTATGATACAATACGCGTGGATTTCTTTATATCTTGTTTAGGTTTTGTTGACTTCCTTGAAATGGTGGACTGATATATTTCATTACTTCTGTGAAATTCGTCACTATCTTTTAAAATATTCTCTCTTGCCCTGGCCACTTTGGCTCAGGGGTTGGAGTGTTTACTTGTGGACCAGAGATTCCTGGTTTTGGTTCCCGTTAGGGGCATGTACCAAAAACAAACAAACAAAAAAATAAAATAAAATATTCCCTCTCATTTCCTTCTGAGAGTTTGATCAAATGTATTTTAGACCTTTTAAGATACCGCCATCTTCTATATATTTAATACCTCTTCCATAATTTTCATTGTCTTCCCTCTGTTTTATATTCTGGATAATTTCTTTTGACCACTCCACTAATTCTCCTTCAGCTGTCTCTAATTTGCTGTTAAGCCAGCCATGAAAATAAATAGTATTTGTTGTATTTTTTTATTTCTAAACGTGTTATTTTCCAGTCTGCTGGGTTGCATTATATTTACCAATCTCCAGATATTTCAAGGCTTATTATTTATTTATTTAGACATAGTTTTCTATAATGTATACCTGATACTACCAACTCCTGAAATCTTGGTTTCTAAAGTTTATTTTTGTTTGATCCTCACTAATGAGTTCTTATTTCCTTGAGAGCTTGGTTATTTTTGAATATGTGGTGCTTATTGCCCTTGGAAAGTTAGTAGGGACAATTTGACCTACTTTTGTCTAGAGTATGTCTCACCCAGGTGATATGAGCTTGGGCTCCAAATCTGTCTGAGGCCGTCCGTGTTCATTTCCCGGGACAGGTCCTGTATACCGAGTCTCTCTGCTCTGTTCAGCATAGGGAGAGCGATCTGTAGCCCTGCAGGGGAGGGAGTATGGGCAGGTCCATTTTTGCATATACCCTAACCCTGAAGCTCTAGCCTTTGGGGTACTGATTTAATGTGGTCTCTGATTAGACTCCCACCTCAGGTGCCTGGGTTTTGATTTCTGAACCTTTCGCTCATTCAAGTCTGCCAAAAGCAAAGTTGACTTTGGACAGTTACAAACACCCTCAAGGAAAACAGAGGCTTTGTCTTATCTTGGTTCTCTAGGATCCCCCCTTTTCTAAGGGTTTTGTCTTTACTATCCTGTCAGTTCTTTTATGCTTTTAAGATGGTTTTTCTTAAGATGGTTTTCCTTGGAAAAAAAGTTATCCATTATTTTTAATTCTTTTCTGTGGGAGAAGGGACCTGAATAATCCAGCCCCTGTTCCAGAAGAAGCAAGCAGTTAGCGAATTTTTTTCCGTTGCTTTGGTGGGGACTGGGGAAACCAACAGTCATTAAAATTTCCGTTATATTTCTATGCTGGGTAGACATATCTCCCTGTGCTTCAAGAACTTACAAAAAATACATTTTTCATAACGGTTCTGGTGGTTGACTCCTTTCCCAAGAGCACCAGAAATTACCGGTAACTCTGGGGATACCTGGTCTTAGAGGTGCACTTGGCAATGAATAACGTAAGTCTTCCAGATGTAATGAAAACACCCACGTATCCCCTGTAAATGCTTTCTCTTGAACATAAATTCAGTGCTCATCATTCCAATGCATATTTCATATATTCATACATGTCTATGTAGCCATGCTTACATATGCTTCATTACTTGATCATGTATGGACACCCTTCTGTACTTTTTTAAACTAGATGCTGACCAGCCAGTGTGGCTCAGTGGTTGAGCATTGGCCCATAAACTAGACACTGTGCTTGGGGTTTATCTATGTGGATAGATACAGCTCTGGTTTATTGATTTTAATTGTTCTATTGTATAAATACGCCAGAATTTCTTTATTTTCCTGTTGATGAGCATTTAGGCTCTTTCCAATTTTTTATTTGTTTGCTCTTATGAACATGGTGTAACTTTTTTTTTTTTTAATCCTTACCTGAGGATATTTTTCTATTTATCTTCAGATAGAGTTGGGGCGGGGGGAGAAACATCAATGTGAGAGGGACACATCTACTGGTTGCCTCCTGCATGACCCTGACCAGGGCTGGGGATAAACCACAGCTGAGGTACGTGCCCTTGGCCATAATTGAACCCATGACTCATTGGTCGGCTGATGCTCTACCACTGAGCCAAACCGGCCAGAGCAATGGTGTAATTCTTGTACATCTCTCTGCACACACATGTGCAAGAGTATTTCCAGGGTGTGTGCTTAGAAGTGGAATCATGTCATAGCGTATGAACACTGAACTGGCTATTTTCAAGTTGCTCTCCAGAGTGCTGGTATCAGTGTATAGCCTACTAACAGGATATGAAAGTCCCTTGGCTGGGAGTTGCTTCGCCAGTAATTTATTTAGAATTTTTATATCTATGTTCATTTAGTGAGACTGGCGTATAGTTTTCTTTCCTTGAACTGTCCATGCTGATTTTGGTATCAGGATTATTCTAGCCATAAAAAACTGCCTAGCTTCTAATCTGTGAAATAATTGGTATGAGATTGAGATGATCCGTCCCTTACAAGTCTGGCCAAACCTTTATAACCCTCTGGGCTTGCTGACTTTGGGGACAGGATTATGAATTCAATTTTTAAAATAGTGATTGGCTTATTTAGGTTTGCTGAATGATCTTGACTGTGTTTTGGTAACTTTTACATTTAAAAAATATTGTAAAAATTGATCATATCTACAATTACAGTCTTTATTCATAGTATCATTTCTGTGGTCATCTTTTTTCCTCTGGATCAGTTTTGGCAGAGATAAGTTTTCATTACGTTTTGAGGTGCTCAAGTTTGGCCTTACTGATTCTATTGTTTCCTTTATTTATTATCATCTTCTGTTTTCTTTAGGTTTACATGGTAAGTTTGTAAGTACCTTGAGTCGATTTTCATCTCTGTTTTTAGTGATAAAACTGTAGCTACATTTCACAAACCTTCATATGTATTTTTATAGTTCTCCAGTGCAAGTATGTTATAATTTCCATCATACGACTCTTGATCTCATCAGTTATTTAGAAGTGCATTTCGACATTTTCAAGCATGTTGGGTTGTATGGCTGTTTTTTAATTGCTTGTTAACAGAGTACATTGTCTTTATGATACTGATTCTTTCAAATTCCTTGGTCTCTGTTTGAACAGATGCATGTTTATTTGTTTGGAGCAGGATTTTATATATTGGATCAAGTGTGATAATTCAAAGCTTCTATATCTTTTTTTTCTGTTTAATCTAGTCTCTTTCTGATGGAATTTTATCAAAATCTCATACTGTGTGAACTTGTCCATTTCTCCTTATAATTTCTGGATGAAAAAAATCCAACCTGATAAATTTTGCTTTTAATAGGTAAATTCCATTTACATGTATTGAGTATTGATATATTTGGATTTATATTGAACATCTTATTTGTATTTGTATTTTTTGCCATTATTTTCTTTGTTTTTACCTTTTCACACCACCCCCATCCTACAGAATTGATAGTTTCCTACATGTCTTTTATTTTTTTCCATCCCTTTATGGTTAACCTTACATTTTGAAGGTACATCATGATATATCCAGATTTATTTTGATTACTTTTTATTCTTAATAATTTTCTCTTCAATTGTTGCTTGTCGACCGTACTTCGATTTTTCTTTTCTGACTCCTGTGATGTGGCTGCTGGAGCCACTCATTCAAGCTGCCATTCCTGAGTCACTATTTCAGATTTGTGTCGTCCTCGACAAACACGACCTTCCAGCTCGGCAGCTGACTCTTCGCAGGTATCCAGTCTAGAGTGGATCCCACAAATTGCATTTCTAATGTCACTGGCGAATTTTCAGGAGTGCAAAAGGTTAGCTAGGCTGGCTCTGTTCCTAGTATTAAAGTTACACCTTTGGCCCGGCCGGTGTGGCTCAGTGGTTGAGCGTCGACACATGCCCAAGTTGTGGTCCTGATCCCCAGTGAAGGGCATGCAGGAGGCGGCCAGTCAGTGTTCTCTCTCGTCCATGTTTCTATCTCTCTCTCTAAAATCAGTAAATAAAGTTATACCTTTGGCTCTTGCCTCCTTTCCTCATACCTTCTGACAAAACTGTAACTCCAGATGCTTGTCGTTTTTTTTAAAAGCTTGTTTTCTTGAGCCCAGGCCTCAGACCCAGCAAAAATTGGGGCTCCCCCCATAGCAGCCAGCCTCCCCACTGCCGTAGTCTGTTTCCTGTCCTGGTTCCCAGAGAGCCTGCCCAGCCCGCAGCCCCTCCTGGTACCAGTGTTTCTTGCAGAAATGTATCCTGTACTTAACCTCGGCTCTGCCTTTTTGGTTTTATCACTTTGTTCTATTTGTGGTGGGCATGAATTGGAGCAGAGGGCGTTTGCAAAATGGGAACCGTGTGACCCCGTGGGTGACTCTGAGCAGCCACTGGGCCTGGCCTAGCTTGTGGCAGTGGTGGGGAGCAAGTTCCACATTGAGCCTACTTGGGACAGTTGAGAGAGAGCCATTTCAGCTTGGCTAAGGACAGAGCTTTCTGTAGCGGTCTCTCACACCACGGAATCTTATATCCTCACACTATCAGCATAGCAGGTGAAAATTCAAGAGTCAGACAAAGCCTGGGTTCAAGCATGCTTCTCTCTTGAATTCCCTGGGGCAAATTTCTTAACCTCACTGTACTTATTTCTGTATCTGTAAAATGGGAATAAAAAACACTTAACATATACCTGTATGTATCCATCACTGTTCAATGTATGTCAGGTCTTGACGCCATACACCTTAAACTTTGTATGTCAGTTAAAATCTCAAAAAAAAAAAAAAAAAAAAAGCCTACCGAACACAAAGGGCTCTGGGAAAGTTCACTGAGATGATACATTAAAATCGTATAGCTAGGTACCTGGCATGTAATTATAAGCTCTTTGGTTTTGTAATTATTGATTAGAAGACCTTAGTGAAAAAGCTGGCGTTGCCCTTTTAGCTACTAAAATGCGGTATTTCAGCTTGAGGTGTGGTTACATAAAAGGCAGTTTTCTAATCTTTTATTCTGAAATGAAATGGGACCATACCCCTCAACACGGCATGGTCAGTCTAATGTTCTCCTTGTCTCTGAAAACACCCCTCAATTTTGTATTAATAACTATTTTTGCAGTTATCTCATTGTTTTATATATGTTAGTTTTGTCATCCTGGGTAGGTGATAAGCAACATGAGGCCAGGACTATTTTTCAACTCCATCTCTTTCATCCTTATATAGGAGAGACGCAGGTGAAGCTCTGTGTATTTGGCGAGTAGATCAGTGATAAAGTGCAACGCCTCAGACATCTGGATGTGGCCAGTAAACAGAAACACAGATTTTAAGCCAAAGAGGCACTTACCCAGGTCTTCATCTCCATCGCCTGGTGCAGGAGGATTGTGGCGAGGGAAATGGTGTTGATGGGGGTCCCGAAGGTGAAGACATCGATATCAGAGTCCTTGTAGGTCTGCAGAGGAGGAACACACAGCTGCTGTTAGATGTGCGCATGGACTCAAGGCCTGGGGTTGACGCAGTGGTTCTGAAGCATCAGTGCAGGCGGGGGCGGGGGGAGCAGAGAGCCAGCTGCCATCTGTGTGGGACTGGTCCACAGAGCAGACGACACGAGGAGTGAGTAGGTAGGGCTAAATTATTTAAAAACACATTTTCACAGGAAGCCAGGATGGGCATTCCAGAACATTTGGCACGAGATGAACGGAATCATTTATTGAGCACCCGCCAGGCAGGATGCCAGTTGTTGAAGATCCTTTTGTGTCCACCCTCGAGGAGTTGACAGCCCCCTTGGCAGGGTAACTGTTACAGTGGAGGCGAGTACAGACGAGGGGCTAGATCAGCTGAGGCGGGGGAAGGGGGAAGGCAGTCGCATCAAAGTTTAGTTTTGAGGGTGGGTGTGGAACTTCCTAGATGGAGGGTCTGTTGAGCTCACAATGGGAGCAAAAGAATCAGCAGGGCCGACAAGCAGAGGTCTGGCCGGGAAATTCCAGCGAAGCATTAAATACCCACTTTCTCGACCTCCGTGTTGTTAATTGCAAAAGAACCTGAGGCCAGGTGGACAGTCCCCTACATCCTGGTTCCCTGTGCAGGAGAAACACAGGTACCCCTCACTATCTAGGCTCTCACTCTGAACCGGGGGACCAGAATGAGATGGGTTGATGTCCTTGCTGCATGTCTTACTTTTATGTCAGGTACCGTAGTATTCTTCTAGAACTTGCTGCCTGAATGCTTGAAGCACAAATCTAACTTGAGGGTTGTCAAGTCAAATACCTTCGGTGCTCAAGCAGGAAACAGTAAAGTGAAGAAGGCCGGTGGGAGACAAAGGCCGTGGTGGGGCTGTGGGGAGCTGGAGATTGTGGGCCCCATCTAAGCAGGGCTGTGAGGCGCTCTGGATTTGTGCCCCGAGGGAAACGATGCAATGTGATGATCGCTTTCTGACGTGCCTCCTGGTGATGTGCAGGGTTAGGATGGAGCTACGTGACTTACCAGGTAAGGGATGAAGAAACAGACGAGGCTCTGGTAGAACGCATCCAGCATGGACACCCAGAAAGTCAGCAGGTTATAGCACTGCCAGGAAAGGACACAGCAGCAGTTACCACCACCAGAATGGCTGTCGTCGGTAAATCCACGAACAGCTCGTGCTGGAGGTCGTGGGGCAGAGGGAGCCCTCGTGCACTGTTGGTGTGACTGCAGCCTGGGGCAGCCACTGTGGGCAACAGTATGGAGTTTTCTCAAAAAATTAAACATAGAGCTGCCATGTGACCTAGAAATTCCACTTGAAGAAAACAAAAACACTTGTAAAGAGACCCCTATGTTCATTGTATATACATATATAGGGATGGGTGTGTGCATACATGTATCTGTATACATACACATTGGAGTATTATTCAGCAAAAAGAGAAAAAATATCTTGCCATTTGCAACAGCATGGATGGACTTAGGGGGCATCGAACTAAGTGAAATAATTCAGACAGGGAAAGACAAATACCGTATGATCTCACTTATATGTGGAATCCAAAAAACCCCCCAAACTCTCTTTAATAATAACAAACGTGGTAGGTTTAGAGATTCTAATGTTTCTAAATGGCATTTGAAAGGACGATCTGTCTCAGACCAGGGTCCCAGTGGCCGGGAGACGGAGCTCAATGGTTTTGTGAAACACGAGCTTTCCCGTTTTGGTCCCTTCCCTGGGAAAAGCGGAACATCACAGTTTATGCTTTTCCTCTGTTAACCTCCTCTAATGTTACCTGCTCGAGGAATACGTGATCCCGCCGCGTGCCTGTGGGAAGGGGTTAGAAGGCCTAGGAAGACCACGCACCACATGCCCCTCACCTGGAGTGGGGTTGCTGTGCTCTGTCTTTGCGCTGGGACTGGGCTTGGCTGGCTGTCCGCAATGTGCCTCCCCCTCTTCAGCCCCCCGCCCTCCGGCACTTCGATGTCCCCTTTCCCTGAGCTCCCACCTCCCGGCCCCCTGGAGTGCCTGCGGACGCTGTGTCTTTTAAGAAATCATCCTGAAGGCTTCCCAGGCCGCCTTTAGTCTACTCGAGACCAGCAAATTCTCTTGCTCTGACACCTCCAGGGAGAAGCCAAGCCCCTCACCTCGGAGTCCTGGCCGCTCTTGTACAGCTCGGGCAACGCCAGGAGAGTCTCTGCCGAGATGTCCTTATCGAGGACCCCGAAGACGAGAGGAGGCAGCGAGGTGAAGAAGAGGTTGAAGAATATCATCTGCCAGTAATCGATCATGGTGGAGCCCGAGAAGCCGCAGAAGAACTGGTACCAGAAGAGCAGGTTCACGTAGCACTGCAGGCAGACAGCGCGGCCTCGTGAGCGAGGATGCTGCGCGGGGCCCCTGGCAAGTCACCGCGCGGATGGGGGCGCCAGGCTCCTCGTCCGTGACGTGCAGAGTCAGGTAAGGATGGGAGGAAACCCAGATCCCGAGAGCAGCAGCTCCTGACACTTACCACTGCTCACGACTGCCGCCGTGAGCTACTACTGATGTCACCCGGGACCTCGTTACGGTAACCAGACTGGTGGTGAAGAGGACTGGTTCTGAACCCCCAGTTCTGTTGCTAGCTTGTGACCTTGGGCAAACCCCTCAACCGTTCGGAACACCACCTTGCTACCTTTCAGATGGGAGTAGTCGTACTTAGAGGCTGCAGTTAGCAGAAGTGTGGAAAGAGGAAGGACTGACAGACAGACTGAACTGTGGGTAAGAAGCCTGGCGGGAAGAAGGCTTCATGCGAAGGTTTCTCTCTCAACGCTGTCCTTATTGTCTCGTTCACCCCTCTGAGCTGCGAGACCGTCTTCTGCCTAACTGCTGCCTGGTGCTCTCTACAGCTCTTTCCCACGCAGGACCTCCCACCTGGCATGGGTGGGGCCTCTCACTGTCTGTGTAATAGCACTCCAGGTTGTGATGTGGTTTGGTGACCCGAGGTGGGTCACGTAAGCAGCTGGTCGTGGAGTTAGAATAGGGCTAATCCTTCTCCACTGTGTGGGGCTCAGGCACAGAGGGGTCAAGGGTATTCCAAGAAGTCATTCAGCAGGTTTGTGTTCAAGCTAGAATTCTGGTTCCCTTACTGCTGGGCCAGTGTTACTTTGACGAGGCTAGCTGTGTCTTCTTGTAATAATAACCTGAACCTGTCAGTACTGCTGTTCGTAACACCAGTAACTATTATTTGACCTTCTATTTCTGTGACACAGGATATTAGTATATTGGACATTACTAGATGTGACATACATTGTAATTTGTCCCAACAACCTGGCAGGATTAATATTATGGCTGAGACTAGAGCCAGCGCCACTCTACAGATGAGGAATCTGAGGCCATCAGTTATTCTTGCCCAAGTTCAGAGCTAGAAAGTGCTACCACCAGCACCCGAGTTTTCAAAGCTCTTTTCTGTGGACTATCCCCAAGCCTTCTCAGTCCTGGGACATTCTTCCTGGTTTCCACCTGAGACCCAACAGGTCACTTCCCAACAGGGACTTCACAGAGGTCGGGCACTCAGCGAAATAGCTATTGGCGAAGATGCTGAAGCAGGAAGTGATCCGGGTTTTAGTCTTGCCTGACTCCAGCATCTGTGAACGTGGAAAGGTCAGCCAACCTCTCTGAGCCTTGGTTCCCTCATCTCCTAGAGATACGTCCATCGCACCCTGACCTTCCTCTAGGGACATACTTCTAAAATTAACTTCTAGTGCTTGTCAGTCTTTAAGGTGCATCGGAATCTTATTGGGGTAGAAGTAAAAGGGCAGATTCTGAGTGGACCGCGAGGATCTGCCTTTCCCTAAGCGTCTATGTGCACGCTGCTTGTCCAGAAACTGTGTCTTGAGAAGCAAGACTCGTTGAGACCAGGAGAGGACAGACCAACCCAGCCACACCCACTCATTGGCACCGTGTCCACAACTGCTTTCATGTGGTCACAGGGGAGCTGAGTAGCTGCGACAGAGGCTGGACGGCCCGCCAGGTTGAAAATCCTGGTTAAGTGGCCCTTTGCAGGATCCCCAGTGCCTGATAATGTTCCCATCCTAGTTAGGTGTTCAATAATGGTTTGAATAATCGTTTGTTTATCATACTTGTTCTTTTCGCCTAACGCTCATGCTGGAGTTTTAACATTAAAGCGTGTTTTCTTCCTCTAAGGCCCGGGAGAGACCTTGCGTATCTTCACGTCCTCTGTGGGGAGTCTTGGCACCTTGGAGCGAGTGCACTGAACCCGGGGATGGCATCGCCCGGATCGGGCACCTGCCTTTCCTCCCGAGAAGCCCCAGTGCGGTAATGCACGCACTGTTCACACTTCAGAGCAGACCGGGTTCTAATCCCCTCCTGGAACTGGGTTTGGATGTGGAAGTCATAGTTCTCCAGCCCCTAGTTGCCAAGGGGAGATAATGCGGCATCGGTATCGCAACTGCGTGCGTGGCATCGGGCTGGAAATAAATACCATCTAAGCTTTGAAAGCACGGCTGGCTGGCGCTTCCTTTTCTATTCCACAGGTTTAATGCAGGGAAGAGGTTGGGCTTATTCAAAAGAACGATTCCCTTAGAGGCCAAGAGAAAAAAATTAAACGGGCATTCTGAATTCTAAGCAAACAGTCCTTCGTGCGCAGAGTGAGCTTCAAGTCAAATTGAGTGACTTTGCACAGACTTGCTGAAATCGTGCCATCCAGCTTATCGAATTAGCATTCTTTTTTGCCACGCTGTTTAGAGCGGTGTATATATACATATTTATACACGCACGTTGAACTCGGAACGAAAATGCTCACCCCGAGCAAGGGTGACCGCGACAGCACCCGCAAGCAGGACGAGGGGAAAATGTAATTTTGAGGCTGCTACTTGGCTAATGTTTTTCTCTCCCAACTCCCTGGTCTCAGTCCTCCCTCTTTCCTTATGCAAACAGTGATGGATTCTGTTGGGAGACTCTTGGGGACTATTCAGAGGTCCTTGAACTAGATAATGAGAAACTCAGGCCCTTGTTCCTTCCCTCAGTACAGCGATGTTCTGATCTCCACTCTGCCCTTGCTCATCGAGGGCTTTTCAAACAAGGGCCTCCGACGATCTTACTGCCTCAGCTGGCGTGTGCCTGCTTGGGCCCCTTATCGACAAGACAGACACGAACGTATTTTTTTTTTTAGGAGCAGCAAATGTTTATATGTGTATAGTGCCACATGCATTCCAGAGCCCTGGCTAATTCCTGAAGCCTCTTGCTAATACTTCTGGGGTCGGAGAGGGTCATAGTCTCCCCATGTTATTGAGAGGAAACCCACCAAGGCCCAGAGAGGTTGGGTGACTTCCACGTTCACAAAGCATCTGGAGTCAGGCAAGACTAAGACCCAGAGGACCTCCCTGCTCTGAACGTTTTGGCCAGTAGCTATTTTACTGAGTGTCCTGACCACTGTGAACTCCCTGCTGAGGAGTGACACGGGGTGGGCTGTGGCCCTCGCATTAGGGAGGCGCTATCTGGGGAGAAGACCTAAGAGAAAAGCCACACTAGTTCTTTAAATCCTCTTCCTTGCCGTCAGAAAATCAGTCTCCTCACGGAGCTCTGAGCAACAGCAGCAGCAACAATGATAAAAACCATGGCTCACTATGGGGTAGTCATTACGTGCCATTGATTTTTGTATACAAGCTCTCCTTTCGTCGTCTTAGCAAATATATGAGGAAGGTACTTTCATCAGCCCCATTTCACAGAGAGCGAAACTAAGGTGTCTGGCCGTTACCAGATACAGGAGCCCAGGTCTGAAGACCATGTCTGTGACTACTCGTGCTGCCCCTGGGCACCAGGTGCCGTCCATACGGCACGATAACTTCAGCGTAGCTGGTATTAGACCCATTTTGTCAAAGATGCAGTTGAGGCCCAGAGCAGTGCATGGTGTTGCCCAAGGTCACACGGAGCTAGTTAGGGACAGTGTCAGGATTCAAAATCCAGGTGAGGCTGACTGCTTCCTTCCTGCTGAGATGCTCTGCCTATGGCTGTGGGGACAGCTGGCCCCGCAAGGACTCCCAGGGCCCAGGTGGCGTCACCGTGGGCTGCTCACCACGTTCTTGTAGAAGTAGTACACCACCATCCTGGCCAGCCGCGAGTAGCACCAGTGGCCGTGCACCAGCAGCAGCTTCTTGAGGTGTCTGAAGCGGGAGATGGCGAAGTCGCTGGACATGACGGCCTGCGGGGGCAGAACAGAGACGTGTGTCCACTGTGCCAGTGCACCAGAGAGGTTCCTGAGGGTAGGGCTTTGCTCTAGGTCCACAGCTGGTAGCGTCTGAAAGACCCTTTGCCATTATGTGGTGCCCTTGGGTGGCTCTTTCGACTCTGACACCCCGCTGTCTCCTCCGGGAGATCCAGACCTCACTAGAATCCAGTACGGGCAGCTCAGAAGGGGCCAGTGGTCTAGTTTGGCCTTTCGTCTCCTTCCATTTATCCAACAAGCATTTGCCGTGGCCCAGCCTGTTTCGGGCACCATGCCAGGACGCATTGGTTCCCCGGGGAGTAGGGACTTCGGGGCCACCCTCGGATGGCATGTGTCTCCTGCCCTTGGCATCGCTCAGAACAAGACAGTTCCTAGCACTCATAAAACTGAGGTTTGGACAGGCCTGGTTATAACTCCTGGCATGAATCTAGGGGGAGGGGTGGAGGCAGAGGAGGGCTCAGTCTTCTGAAACTGGGGGTCCTTATGATTACATTTAGCTTTAAATTCTAACTCTAAAAATCTCTCTTCCTGCCCTGGCCTGTTTTGCTCAGTGGTTAGAGCGTCGGCCTGCGGTCCCGAGAGACCGGGGTTCGGTTCCCGCTAAGGGCACGTACCTCGGTTGCAGTTTGTCCCCGGCCCTGGTTGGTCGTGCGGGTGGCAGCCACTCGATGTGTCCCTTTCACATCGATGTTTCTCTCTCTCTTCCTCTCTCCCCCTCCCACTCTACCTGAACAAAAAATAGAAAAATGTCCTCAGGTGAGGATAAAAAAAAAAAATCTCTCTTCCTCTCCCTAGCCTTTCCCTCAGATAACCAGCGAGCCCCAAGGTAGCAGAATGCAGTAGCCCGAACATGACTAATAGTCACACGGTCTGGGTAACATGGCAGGCTACTGATAACATCTCGACCTCACTTTGTTTCAGTTCCTGAGTTCTGAGGTGGAACGACCCCGACTCCTTCCCAGGAGAGCGGACAGAGGGACACCAGAAAAGGCCTCCGAGCTGTCCTCAAGACCTGAAGCAATGACTCATCGTCCTTATGTCCCCTCGACAGTCAGCGCCCAGCCCAGCCCAGCCCAGCCCAGCCCCTAAACCGCCGGTGTCTTGTGAGTTTGCCCTGTATAATCTGTAACCTACACACCTTTAACATTAGCTCCCTGTCTCCGGATTGGCCAATTCAATATTAAACTTTCTATACTGCAAACTCCTGCTTGTGCGTCTCTTTGGGTTAGTACATGCAGGCAGGCAGACTTAAGAAAAATATTAGGGTTCTGGTTATACTTCCCTGAATGGTCGGGTACCATTTGGCTTTAGAACACAGGTCTCACCAGCCAGCTGTCCGTAAAAAGCCGAGCATCCTTGGATCTCTCTGTTCTGAAGGACTGGGCGGTAGGGAGCTGGTGATGGAGGCTTATGGCACGGAAACCTGACTTTCAGATGATAGTTCTGCAAAGCTCTCGGCGAAGTTCACCCAACACTGCGAACAATGCCCTAACTCTCCCACGAGGATCCGGTAGATGAGGAAGAAACAAGACCACTTGAAGAGAACAGTACCTGCATGCCTTCCTGTCCGGATATTCCGATCCCAACATCAGCAGCCTGAATCATGCTCACATCATTGGCTCCGTCGCCTGAAAGAAGAGAGATCCCGAGGTATCTTTATTCTGGTCCAACGGTGCGGGACACTGGGAAGGGTTTTATTTACACCATTGACTCAAGGATCTCATTTGTACTGAATTGAGCCCTTTTAACATTGCCCTAGTCCTGCAGGAAAAGTCCACTGTTTTGGTATTTGGCCAAGAAACCCTACTCTTTATCATTCACAATGAGACTTGAGCTGTGCTTTATGGTTTACACAAAAGGCCTTCATGAATGTTATAGCGGACTTGACTGAGGAGCAAATGGAGGATTTGAACAACATAGGCATTTGGCAAGAGTAAGCCAGCTGGTGAAGAGACCCCAGAGAGTTGGGACAGATCATTCCGATTCCAAGGCTGGTATACCTTCCCTAGCTCAGTACGACATGAAATACTGGCCATATCATGGCATCTAGGATGTTTGGACAGCTAAGCCATCAGATTGTCAATGGTGTCCAAGAACAGGGACGGTGTTCAGTTTTATTTCTGAATATAGAAAAGTGAGACTGATTTTGTTGTTGTTGAGGTGCATTTAGTCGCATTGAGTTCCCATTCAATGAACTCATTCAGGAAACTGGAGGTGGATAGGGCCCTTAATGATGGAATTGTCTTATACCTTTTACTGTCCAACAAGGCAACCACTAGCTACATGTGACTATCAAAATGTGGCTGATGAAATTCTATTTAACTTTGAACATAAGCAGCCGCAGCCCAGCCTTACTCAGTGAGCCGTATAGTCACAAGCCTCTTCCTAACACTTTATCTTTCCATGAGAGCTCAGCACACTTTCTCTGTAAAGGGCCACGTAGTAAATGCTTTGTCGGCCAAGAAGCAGATGTGAACAGCTGTCCTTACATTTAGACAAACATAAATGTACGCAGTGGGCTGGATTCAGCCTGCGGGCCATAGTTTGTAGACTCTTGCCTTCACCTCCTGACCCCACCTCTTTTTCCAGTGGGTTCTCATAATCTGCAATTAAATCTATATCAGACGTCATAGAAAATATGGCATGGGGGGGGGGGAAGACTTGTCTTCTAATTATTTGGCAACAACATGTATTGCTCTTAAACATTTTGTCATTATAAGTAGCCACTATTCTTATGGTGATACTTCCTTTTCTTCCTAGCGCAGAAGCACATGATTTGAGTCTACCCCATGGCAGAACAAATCCACCCTTTAACCTCTTCCGGTAGGAAGCCAGTGGGAGGAGGGGTGTGGAATCACACCCTTTGCTGCTACGGCAGCGAACCCCATCTCGTGCTTCAGGGAGTCAGTCCTGGGCGGCTGCCTTGTGTGTGTCTGAAGTTTTGAAGCGGACAATTCAGGGAACCAAACAAGAATGCCGTGGACACGGCTCTGCTCCCTGCATTCTTTCTGCCCACTCCCTCTTTCTTTTCTTTTTTTATGACTGCTTTTACCTGAATACCAGGAGAAAGAACTGTATAAAAGGCCTCCTATTTGGAATGCTGGGAAGGGAAATCTCTCCCCGTGTTTGTGTAGGAAGAAGAGAACTTGGAACCATTTTCACGAATGCCCCTAAATAAACGCACCATGTACTATTTGTGTGGTGTGTGTTGGGTATGGGATGAAATGGGGAGTAGGACTGACATTGTCCCTCTGTCCAGGGACTCATGGTGTCCTGAGCAGGTCTCCAGAAAGCATACCAGCACTGTGGAGCTAGGGGGCTGTGTGCCATGGAAGCTCCCAGAGAAGGGAGGTTAGGTGGATGGAAGAAGCAGGGATTTACAGAGGATATGGCTTGTGCAAAGGCCGGGGAGAGGGAGACCAAGGCTCACGGAGAAGGGGAAGCAGTTTCCTTGGGTTGGGACCTGGAGTGCTGGGGAGAAGGAGGTTCCTGCTGTGGCTGGAGGGTTGACGGAGGCCAAATCAGCAAGGTTCTTGTGAACCAGGCTTGGTTGTTCCTGCAAAGTTTAAAGTACAGGTTTTCCTTTTCTGCCTCAACCATGTTTAGCGCTTAGTCTCCTATGAGGAATTCTTCATCAACCAACAGCCAGCATGTAATTGAGCATATGCTTTGTGCTGGGCCTTGTATTTAGGAACGAAGGAACAAAATTAAATATGGGACAGGCTCAACCTTTAAATCTCCCCACCAGCCATCAACACTCAGCAGAAGACCAAATCCACAAACACCCGAGGTCCATAGTACGGTGCCATGTGTTAAGTATCAAAGGGGAAGTGGTCTGCATCCCAGGACTGAGTTGGCCTGGGTGTATGTTATTGTGCTACCTCGATGTTCCAAGTCTGAGGCTGCTCTTGGCTTTGCCCTCCTTCCAGATTCTGATTTTTCATTAGCTGATCTCTGCTTAGCCTCTGCTTCATCCCTTGGCTGCCACATCTTGTCACTTTGACGTCTCTCCCTCTAAGACAAGGACCCTCCACTTAAGCATCTTGACTTTGATTCCTGCCCCCACCCCGCCCTGGTGCAGGCTCTCATCAGATCAGCCCCAGCACACTCCCAGCCACACTGCAGCACCTCAGGTACCTATGGAAAGAGTCATGACGCTCAGCTTGTCCCGCACCAGCTTGACGATCATGCTCTTCTGGAGCGGGGTGGAGCGGCAGCACAGGACCGACCGGCAGTGCTGGGTCAGCTCCAGAAATTTCTTCTCCAGCTTTCCCTGGAAGATGGTGTTCAGGGTCTTCCCATCGATGACCAATCCGACTTCTGGGGCTGCGGCGCCGGAGGCGGGGGGAGGTGTCTCAGAAGGCAGGTGGAACCCGGAGAGCCTGCGGTCCGCCTTCCATGGTCCATGAAGTTGCTTCACCTCTTCCAGTGCGCAGGTGAGGATGGATTCACAGGTTTCCTGGGAAGAGTCGGAATAATACGTTTGGTATTCGTAAGCCACACTGCAAACGTAGTTCTGAAATCTCACTTTAGCCTTCAGTAAGATATTAATAAAACTCGACCACCATTCAATCACTTAGCTCGGAAGCATTCTCCGATGTTTACATTTCTCGGTGATAGTTCAAACAGCGTCAAGGCAGTATCGACTTGGAATCAATGAGCAAAATAGGAGGAACTGCTCGGGAACGGAAATAGCTCAGCAAGATGGGGCCTAACAGAGAGATGGTAGCCCTGCTCCCATTGTGGCTTCTCCACTGGGAAACTACGTTAACTGTTTCTCTGTTGGTCTGAGTGTGTTGGTCACTGCCCATGGATGTGAAAGTCTTACTGGTTTAAAGAAACTTTTTTTTCTTTCTGGTGTTTACCTTGAAACAGTGAAGAAGTTATTTCCTCTTACCAATTCTCCATTGCTTTTGGCTATATCAAAGATCAAGTCAGATTTTGGTTCTAAATATATTCATGATCCTCGTTACGTTCTGCAAACATCACTTCTAAAGCAAGCTAGAGTAGGCCGAGGCAGTCGGCGGCATGGTCGGTTCTCAGCGCGGTGCTGTCCGCGAGCAGTCAGTGTGCACAGGCCCGAGGGGCCGCGAACTAGTTCCAGCAGCCACTGGTTATACCCGAAATACTTGGAAAAGAGATCGAGATAGTCCTTGGCAGTTGGGACTGGCATAAATTATAAAAATTCCTCCAACATAGGACCAAGTCTTTGGAAAGGTAAGCTTCCAAACAAAATCTCTGAATTCATTTATTTTGAACTTTCTATGTAATAATCACAATAGTTGCCATTTATTTAACACTCAGTATAGGTCAGATACAGTGGTGGGCAGCCTTTTAGATGGTTCTCAGTGAACTCCGCCCCCTGGTATTCATGCCCTTGTGTGATCTCCTTCCCTTGAGTGTGGGCTAGGACTAGGGACTCCTTTTTAAGGAAGAGAATTCTGCAAAAGTGATGGATGTCACCTCCAGGTTTGCTTATAAAGACTGGCTGCCCAACAGGGCATTCTTTCTCACTCTGCCTTGGATGGCTTGTCCTGGGGTAAAACCGTCTGCCAATCATGGCAGGACTCCTTTCTATCCCCAAATGACCCACCCTGTTAAACATTTAGATGAGCCCCCCACCCTGACCTACAGCTCAACTGAAACCTTCAGGGAGACCTTGAGCCAGAGGTACGTACCCAGCCTAGCCACTCCTGGACTCCCAACCCTCAGAAACTGTGTGATAATAGATGTCTGTTTTTAGCGGCTCAGTTTTGATATAATTTGTTAACTAATACAAATGCTGTGCTAATATTTTCTTTCTGTGATGTCATTGATCCTCCCAAATAGCCTCTGAAATAAATCTTTTCTACAGATCGGGAGAAAGAAGGTCAGAGAGTTATGGTACCTGGACACTATTAAGCTTTCAAATATGTTGTTAATAATAGTTGCTATTATTAGTTCCTACTTAATATTATAGTCCCTTCTAAGATTCCTTAACAGAGCAACACTTCCAGTGATGGGTTATTAATTCTCTCATCTGATAGATGAGAACTCTGAGGTGTAGAGCAGTCCCATAACTCGCTTATAGCTTTAAGATGTATAACAGAAACAGTAGCCCTACATCAACTTACAATGAATTAGGCAGATAAAAACCCTTGGAGAAATAGCCACTGAATATGTAATTACATTAAACGGGGGTTGAAATAAATCTGAGATATAGAATGGGTTTCCCCAGTGTCTGTCTTTGTCTAGGTACCTGCTCCTTTTCCCCAGACGAGAGGATGACTCATCGGCATAGCGCGCCCAGGGGTGTGGGTAGGCCCAGCACTCAGGAACCCTCCTGGAGGGCCCCAGACAACGTTTAAACAGCCGACAGTGACTGAACTCAACACAGTAGTGTGGCCCCGTGTTCCTTAGGAACTTTGGCTACTGAATCAACAAGCACCTTCAGCTTCCTCCAGGAATGCATTGCGTTGGGCAGAAGTCCGGCCCCACTGGCTAGCTCAAGGTTGGCGATGTCCTTTTGGAATCACCTTGAATGAAAATGATCCTTGCAAACAAAATTTCCATTGTCAGCGGGGCAGGGAGACATCGACACTATTACAGGGATCAAGCAAGCTGCAAATTACTTTCTCTCCTAAGCATCATATTAATGCCAGAGATTTCCCCGAGATTATTTTCATTTTGAAAATTCTTTGGGGTTTAATCTAATCATCGCATCTTCTGTGCACCCGAGAAGAAAGTAAATGAGCTTTCCAATTCATCTAAAGGGCCTCAGGCACTTTTCCAGAGTGTTCACTACCTTTAAGAAATTTTGTGTAGGTGGATTCTTCGTGAAATAAAAACCAAATTTAAACCCCTCACATTTCTGGACTCTGATCAGCTTCAGGCAAAACTGAAGGCCTGAGAGTCCATCACTCTCCTGCCATTATTTTCTGTGCTGGTCTCTCCCTTGGGCATCTTCCTCTCTCTGCCTCATCCCCTTGGCCTGCTCCAGGTCTCCTGGTCTCCAGGTCCCTCCACCCACCACCCCTGCCACAGTGCTTTCCTGTTACCCCACATCCAGTCCAATCCCCGCTTCCTTCTGATAGGCGCGTACAAGTCAACACCCACTTCCCACATTCATTGGCCAAGAAGACGGTGGGCGTTCACTTTCTGCAGTTTGCCCTGTGAAAATAGCTGTTTCCTCCTAAATATAAAATTGTGTTACGACTTGGAATACACTTCTTCAGACTGTACACAGCCCTCTCTCCAGACTTTGCTCCCTGCCACTCACAACCTAGTTGGGTTGAAAAAAAACAAAATCACAGTTTTGGAGCTTTGCTTCTCTGTCCTATCCCATCGAAATGTGCTGCTCTCTGTATCATTCACCTTCAGGATGTCTTCTGTGGCAAACCGATGTGACTTACAAATCGGAGCTGAAATTTTAAACTCAGAAGAATTTCAATTGAATTGAGGCTTTTTTCCCAATGGGGGATTAATCCCATGTATTAACCACTGAGGTTCTGAGAGCAGACAGTGGGCTACCGCAGCGGCGCTGGCCTGCAGGGGACCAGCCTTCTAGACTTCGTCTGTCAGAAATGACAAGGTGACCCTGGCGGGGGACAGCCTCCGTGGCCGTCAGTTTCCTCATCTGTAGAATGAGGAGGCCGGGCCAAAGGCAGAATTCGGGAGAGGCAGAACTTCCTAACGTGCTGTTAGACAAAATGTAAATACATTGGTTCACCACGTGGGGTCGAGGGAGAGGATACTGGGCTGGATGACCTCCAGGGCCCTCTGAGCGCCATGGTTTTGGTAGGGTGGCTTCCTCGTGTACCCAGATGCCACACGCAAGCCTGTCGCCCGCTGGCTGGGGGCTGCTCTGCACGTGGACATCTGGGCCCTACGCTGGCCTCACCTGGCTCTCCGTGTTAATGGAGTACACGGTGTCGGTCTGATCCAACAGCCTGCAGGAGTAGGCGATGTTGACGGCTGTCTCCTGCTTATCTCCGGTCAACACCCAGAGCTGGATCCCAGCTTCCCTCAGAGCAGCGATTGTGTTTGGGACGCCTTCCTGCAGCCGGTCTTCAATCCCAGTAGCTCCTGGAGTGATCAGACACCAGGAGTCACATTTATGGTGGGAAAGTAGCTGCCTGATTTCCCCGAAGCCCTATAAGCAAGGCAATAATTATTAAATATCTTTCGTGTTCTAGGCTACGCCGAGCGCCCGGGATACAGTAGTGCAATACACAGAGCTGGTCCCGACCCCCTCGGAGCACCTAGGCCTGTTGAATGAGGGTTTGTAACTGAGCTTTCTGAGGAGCCCAGGGTGCCATGCAAACAGGTGCCAGGAGACCCGCACTTCATCTGCAAGGTCAGAGAAGGCCTGGCTGAGAAAGTGTCCTTAAGCTCAGACTTGGAAGATAAAGCCAAGAGGTGGAGAAGGAGCAGAATTCCAGGCAGAGGGCTCAGCATGTGTCAAGGCCCAGGGGTCAGTAAGGGACTTAAGCTGAAAAGTGGCAGGATCAGTTTTGAGTGTTAAGAACATGATTCCAGAGAACAGACTGGAGAGTGCAGCAAGCAGGATGGATGGATTCAGTGCCGAGGGTTCGAAGCCGAGCAGGAGTGCAGAGAGCTGCCGGCCCATTGGCCATGGGAGAGGAGAGAAACAAAGAGGCTGAAATCTTGGCTGCGGCCACTCACAGCAGAATTCACAGAGACCCGGGCTTTTGCTCATGTTCTTGGAAAGAATCTCACATGCAGCTTCCATATGTTTTGAACCATCTCCAGCTTTGCACCAACCCAAACACTGAATAACAGTGATTAAGCAAAAATAAATCAGCATTTAAATTGAGATTCATTTCAGAGCACAGATGCATTTCACTCTGGGCAGCAGCAGCGCGTTTCACGTCTTTCAATCATTCCGGGTGACAAAAGGGTGGCAAGCCAGTTACGTTGGCTGCCTGGTGAAAAGATCACTTGACTGTGGGACTGAGCAGGAACGGGAGGCAGCTTTGTCAAGGGAGGGCTGTTTCTCGGTGGCAAGAGGAGATCTCTGCCCGGGCCCAGCCCCCTCCCCCAGCTGCGCTGTCACGAAATGTGCCTGCTTTGTACGAGGCCCAAACACCCAGGTAAACAACCTGGGGATGGCTCGGCCGCATCTTTCGCTCCAAGGGTGAGCTTGGAAGGGGGGGCACTGGAGCTGATTGATATTCCGGGGAGGCAGAGTGAAGGAGAGAGGAGGGAAAACACATTTATTTGTGTGAAAGAGAAAATGAAACAGGAAAGCCTTTCCCAGCCCAGGGAGCCGACAGGTCCTGACAAGTGTTTTCATGTGGAACCAGCCGGGGAGCACTCCTCACCGACCAGACCAGGACGCTCCGAAACCAGAGCCTCAGGGCGCGGGGAGGGGGTCAGCGCCCTGCCCGGCTGACACCCCGTGACCTTGTGCAGGGGATAGAGCTGTCTGGCCTAGCTACCCTCTAGTTCCTGTGGACATGAGTTCTCGTGACCAGCTTTCAAGGGGGCCCTGGGAGGCAGCAAACCAAGACGCCTGCAGTCAACACAGAAACAAGGCTGGAGGAGGAGCAAATCCCTCCCTGGCTGGTTACCTCTCTCCGAATCTTGCCACTTTTACATAGACAGGCACTGTATTCTTAGCGTGACCCCGGCTGGCCGGGCAGTTTGGGGAGTGTGCTGCATCCAGAGAAGAAGCGAAGGCTCAGGGGTGCGGGGATGTGTCCCTGGGCACACGGCAAGGTCTCGACGGGGCCCAGACCCGGCCCTCGTGCGTCACCTTCCATGATGAAAGAAAGCTGCTGTGTGGCCAGTGTGTGCGTGCTGGGCCTGCGTGGCCTTTCCTAGCTCTTACTCCCGAGCTGTGACATTAGTCCTGGTAGGTAAAGCCTGCCCCGTGTCTCTCAGCAGTGCTTTTCATCCAACAGAAATACGCGCTGTCCCTTAACTGTGGTCTCTGCTGCTGGCCTTCCCCCTGCGTATCGATCTCATGTCTACACGGAAGCACGAATCTGTCCCTGCTTGCACCGTTGTCCCCTCTCCGAACACTCGGCATGTGTTTACATGGCCTCTCCCCCCCATCCTTTCTCCCCCAAGCTCCATGGTCCAGCCATAGTGCACCCGTGACCTGCCGGCCCGGGGTCTCTCACCTCCAGGCCTCCGCTTGGCCCCTGCTCGCTGCCTGGAACACTCTCCCCCGCGGCCTGGCCAACTCTTCTCAGCTCAGTCCAGCTTTCCGCACCCTCCTTGGTCCCAGGCCGGGTTGGCCCCTTCACTTGGCCCTGTGTTTCCATCCTGCCTGGTACACTTCCAGCCCAGCCCTCACCGCACCGTGCTTCATTACTTGTTTAATCAGTTTCCTGCTAGACTCTGGACTCTGGGCGGACAGGGCCTGTGGCTCTTGTTCCCTGTTGTAGCCTCAATGCCTAGTCTGCTATTTGGCGCATGGTAGGTGCTTAATAAACATTTAAACAAATAGAAGAAAAGCAACCAAACTCCTCGCTTCGTCCAGGAGGGGGTGCAGGAATGCTCCTGGACACCTCAGGAGGCTGCTTGTGGAGCCTGGGTTGCCTGTTGGCGCAGCCTGTTTGTCCCAATATCGGGAAAGGCACCCCAGGGAAGGCTCCTAATTGAGACACATTTGTAGCGGTGTCAGAATCAGGGCCAAGAACTCCCTTTCCAACTTGCAGCATTCCTGTTTTTCACTTAATGAGGGCTTATTTTTAGCTACCGAGTAAGGTGAGTTGCTTCTCCAGATGCTGTGCCGTCTCCATCAGAAGCTCATCTCGGTTGTCCAGGGACGCCTCGGCCTCGTGCCGGAAACTGGCCCATCGCCGGAAGTCCTCTTCACTTATGACCTACGGGATAGGAATAGGCTCATTCACAACTCTGAGTAAATCCCTCTTCCTTCCCAATGCCTGTGGAACTTCTCTACACAATTAGATGGGGCTTTCTCCTCAATGATGGTTTTCCTGAGGGCATGAATCAATGAGGGATTGATCCTTATGTTCCATGATCACAAAACGTCCATTGAGCTCCTGCCCTGCCCTGGGCACTGATGATATAGCAGTGATGGGGCAGAAGATCCCTGCACGCCTGGGCTTATGTGCTGCTGGAGGGCAAGAGACATTACCCAAGTAAATAATTTAAAAGAGTAGGTCATTTCAAGGAGTTCTATACAGAAATTAAAGAGCTATGACCGGGTAGGAGGGTAGCTGTGGGAAGAGGGGCTATTTCATCGGAATCTTCAGGTCTCTTAGACAAGGTGATATACAAGTTGAGATCCAGTGATGAGAAGGGTTCACTCATGGGGAGGGGCAAGTACAAAGACTGTGAAACAGCAATGAACTTGGTTTTGTCTGCTCCTTGAACAGACCAGTTGGTTGAAGGATGGAGAGCCAGGTAGAGAGGAGCCAGCAACAAGGCTGGAAAGGTAAGCAGCAACCAGATGATGCGTAGCCTGGTAGAATGCTCCACCTGCTACTGGAGGTGGTACCCAAAAGCTGGGAGAATACAAGTGAAGGACATATCTTCTTCCTTTGGCGCCCCCTCGTATCTTGAGATGTCTCTGTGGGCATTGCATGAATACCGTCTGTCAGAGCAATGAATATCCCTTGGTTTTCTCTCTGTGCATGGCACTCTAGGGGAGCCCAAGGGGATGTGGGTAGGCCTTTTGCTCTTGTGAAATTCACAGTCTTATTAGAGGAGACAAAATTGGCACAAATAATTGCAATGGAAAACAGAAGGTGGTAAGGGTGTAATTGCAATCTCTAGAGTAGTAAGCAATCTCTAGAGTGTTTGCTGTCCCATGGACATGTGGTACCTTAGTTCATCTCTATGACAACTGTATGAGGTTAAGGAGTGCCGACACCCTTTTGCAGATAAGAAAATCCAAAACTCTGAGAGGTGAGGAAACTTGCCCAACATCACCCAACAGATAAGTGGTGAGATTGATACTTGCACCCAGGCAGGTCTGGCTTTAAGGTGGGTGCTCATAAATGCTTACATTTTGATGCTTGCCTAAGCACCATAAACACCATGAGCTCTGGAGATTTATGGAGGAGGAATCCAACCGTCTAGAAATACATGCCCGTCATAGCTCCCGCAGTTGATTTCAGGTGCCTCGCTGCTCTGGGATTCATAGCTCTCTCTGTCAGCCTCTCCTGCAGGGGTGAGGTGGGTAGTCTACATGACTATAGCTGGGCCAAGGGCAACAATAGGGAATGGTGGGGAGTGTGACTAACCACAACACAGCAGAATTCATCCCTCATCAGGGATCAGTTGAAACATTTGCTGTCCTTTGACAGAGCCTCTACATTTTCAAGAGAAATCAGAAATCTAGATTTTTTTGTGATCACACAAAATCTCCCCAGTTCCAAATCTATGCAAATAAAGCACAATGTAAAAGAATATGCCGAAGGTAAAATTATAACATTAAAAGTCATTTAAGAATTACGGGTTGCCAATTCTATATAGAAATAGCCACACTGATGTGGAACCTTGCCATTTGGATTTCTGCCCCAGAAAAATTGCCAAAGTTGTGGGTCTTTGCGATGAGTCAAAATAGCTAATTTTGAAAACATCAAAGCAGTCAACATTAAGGATCTTCTAAAAAGAATAGAAAAGACAGAAGCAAGATTGAGGCCTTCCAGCTACTGGACGAGGAGCATGTTCTCACCTTCTTGGCGATGCACAGGGTCCGAAGACCATCTCTTGCATACAAGTCTAGATGCTTCTGGGTCCGGGCTCGGGTTTTCCTCACCTTCTTTTCCACATCAGTGTCGGGCACTGTGAAGGAGTCATTGTTCCCCATGAGGTCATGCACACATGTTTAGGGATGCCCATTCCTAACATTCTGGTATCTTTAAGGAGAAATTCCCTTACAGCCCTCTCCAGACACAGAGGGGCTGTCCTGGCTACGAGAGTGCCCAGGAAGGTGGTGACTCTGGGGGTTCTTAAATTGTCTGCTCTCTAGCTGGTCATCGAAAGCCTGGCTGAGAAAAGAAGTACTTTAGGAGAGTATGTGGTCCAAGGTGTTGTTTCCAACACCCGCTTGCATCAGAATGGTCTGGATGCGTCAATAACAGAGTTGAAGCTCTGTTGAATCACGGGGCCAGCGATGTTTATGACGACCGCAGGTGTTTTCCTTGCAGCCACTTCAGCCCTGGGTGACCTGTGGTTTGCTCAGTGTTAGACATTCTATCCCCACCCTCTCTGTCATCTACTTCAGTCCTTACAGCAAGTTAGGTCCCAAGACAGCTGTGTACCTGAATTTCATTGCTAAGTTCTTTGCACCTTGAGTTTGCTGAATTCGGCTTTCTTTCTAGACAAGAAATGGTCTTAGAAAACACATTTTTTTTTTTTGCATTTCCTACCGATATAGTCTCTAGAATGAAAAACACTTCATTGTGTTGCTCAAAGTCCCCTTTATGAAGTCCTACATAATACATGCCTTTTAGAAAAAAATTTATCGTTTTTCTCTTGAAATTCCAGTACTTTTATCTACCAGATAAAAATAATTTTTCATCCTGGGTTTGTGGGTATGGGGCAGGATTGATACTATCACCACTTTATCTGAGATGTCCCAGACATCTCTAATCAATTGCAGCACTTTATAAAGCTGAGCTTGGAAAAAGCTTCAGTCATTTTTTTTTTTTTTTATAACCAGGGCTGGATTGAGATCTTCAGAGACCCCAAGTAGTGAACAGATTTCATGCATCTGAGCCATTCTCCACATAAAACTAAAAATACAACGTTTAGCGGTGAGGTAAGTATAAGAAGGCCCAGCGCGCTGTGATTTTTTTCCCCATGATACTATTCTAAGGCTGCTTTTATACAGTGCAAACATTCTTCCAAAGATTATTTTCTCATTTTTCAGAAGGCGTTACTGTTTTCCTTGTGCCTTAAGCACAGCCCTTCCGCACTGTCTCATTGCACACTGTTTGCAATATTTTATTTTCAAAGACAACAGCTCCCGAGATTAAATTTTGTCTTCTATCTGGCTCCTTCTGAATTGACCTTTTCTTGCTCAGGCTGACAGAAACCTCAGGGTCGGAATGAATGTCTGAACTCCATAAATATGTTAAACCCAGGGTCATTTTCCCCGCTCCTTTTCAAGGTTTTAGTTTTCAGTTCTTAATAGTAACATTGCTCGTGTGTCTTTTATTGGAAGCATCTCTAATCCATTTTGCAGCTGGGCGAGGAACAAATAAAAGGAGCATCTCCGGGGCAGCGTTGATGGCTGTTGCCCAGGGACAGCATGTCGTGGCTCCCGGGACTCGGAAACACTGACTTCGCTCGTCTGCCAGAGTCTGGGGAGGAAGAGACCTAATTAACTCCCTTCCCGTTCTAAACACTCATCAATCCTGTTGGCTTTGATCCATAGCTGATAATGCAGGAGGCTCAGGGCTGCCTGGGCAATTCTGAGGCTTGGCCGGGATCTACTATCCTGGGAGAATCACAGCCCCATGACTGTCTTCTCCTTGTTAGTAATCAACAAGCGGCTACACACTAACTCATGCCGCTGCAAAATTGGATACTGATCGGCAGGGACTTTGGAACATGTTTCTGGCTTGGAGTGAGTTTATGAAAATCCGTTTGGGAGGGGCTGGGGAAAAGGATGATAAAGAGGCCACCTGGGTCTTCTAGGGTGAGCTGAACCTGGCGCGGAAGTCTGGGGAGCGGAAGGAGCTCTGAGCCGGGCCTCGGGGCACCTGGGCAGAGGATTTGTCACTGGTCACTATGCCACCTCTCTGAGGTCACTTCCCTCTCTGGGTTCAGTTGGCCTCTCTCCCAGACTAGGGTGTGTTAACGGATGACCTTGTCAAAGTGTATGGATAATCCATGTTTAAGTGAGTTTGGAAAACTAGGAACGGGGATGAAAGTTAAAGAGGCTTTTCTCTTACGAGACGGCCCGGCTCCCAGAGCGCTGTTGCTCCCCAGGTTGGACACGGGGACGCAGCATGTGTTAAGAAACCCGCTTTGAGGACAGCTGCTGTGAGCCCGTGTTCCTTGGGACCCGCCAGGCTGTGACACTACGACTCGAGCTCATCATTACCGTTCCAGGCTGCCTTTGAAACCACGGAGCCCTCCGTTCTGGAACCCTGGTGAGGGGGACTCACCGCAGGCCGGGTCTTCCAGCAGGTCCATGATGACCGAGTCGGCGCCCTTGGTGTAGACGGTGATCTCACCCGTCAGTGGGTGCCTCACAACCACGGACATTCTCTTCCGGACAGAGTCGAAGCCCAGGGTGCAGAGGACATCGAAGGTGAGGCAGGTGCCCTGGGGCAAGCGCACGGTCACCTGCTCGGGCGTCCGGGACACCAGTGTGAAGCTGTAGGCACGGGCGGCGTGCACCAGGGCAGCCTCATCGGGGCTCTCGGCCTCGTAGCAGAGATCGGGGCTGGCCAGGCCCAGGGCGGGGTCCTCCAGCACCTCCTCCAGGGAAGTGCCCAACCGGGACGCCAGGGTGTCAGCTTGGTCACATGGGCTGCTCCTATAGCCGCCATCAGTGGAGTAGCCACCGCTGCACACAGATGCATCGTCTCTTTCTTCCGAGTCTGTGGTGGGCATGTTGGTCCCCAAACTCTCCCCCAGGTCGGTGTCAGAGGGCGCAGTGGAGGAGAATGATTGGCTGAGGCTCGAAAGCTTCAGCTTCTGGAAGAGCTGCTGGATCTTCTCCAGGGATGTCCCCAGAGCCTTGGTCGATGGTGGCATGGTGACCTCGAGATCAAAGGAGGGAAGGAGAACATTAGTCTCAATGTGGGAAAAAAATATCAAGCTGTCTTATCCCAGAATCTGAAGGTCATTTTGCAATAAATGGATTATCTGGGCCTTCCGTGATTGTGGGCAAGCCTTCTCCCCTAGGTGAGCCTCAGTTTACCCACCTGTAAGACAAGAGCATTAGGTTGGATGTTTCCCCCAGCCCTGACATGTGTGGGGTTGGGAATGACCACCCCAATCTAATCAGAGGCAAAGGAAAGACAAGGAGATAAAAGCCAGACCCGTAGTAAGAGTCACATTCCCCACCCTGGTACCATATCTCCACCTGAATCATCTCATTTCATCCTCCCAGCAACTTTATGGGAGTCTGTCATTGTCCCTGGGTATGGATGAGGAAACAGAGGCACAAAGAGGGTAAATAAATTGGCCAGCAGCACTCAGGGTATAGGTGGTAGAGTTGGGAATCGGATCTGGTTCTGTCCGACTCCAGGGGCTGGGACCTTCAGCTACCAGCCGGCTGAAGCCTCCCTAGTAACTTAAACATCGAGAGGTGGATGCCGTCCTCCCCCAGATGGTACTTTTCCTCTCCTGAAAATAGAGTTAATTTCCCAGGTAATGCTACCTTCCTCTCAAAGCTCCCTGAAGACTTCTGATGACATGGCACCTTTTCAGTGGCTGAAGTGACTTTTCAGGGTGGCTTGGGATCCGGACATAAGGGAAGGGGAGGCTCTCAGTGGGTGCCTGGGTGAACCTTTTTCTCAATTTCACAGCCACAAGTTGTAACACCCAATAATTCTTTCTTTTTTTTTAAAAACAATTATTCTCATCAGTGACTCACAGGGGAGCTTGGGTGAGCGTCAGTAGATAATTAAAGACACAGATATCTCCAGTACTAAAAAATAATTCAAAGTCTAACCTGCTATAAATGGCCAGCTAGCTGCATTATCTCCCAAATGACAGAACATCACACCTGGTGTTATTTTTTTTAACCCCCACATGAAAGCAGAGACCACTATGATACAATGTTATGGAGTCACACAGATGCTTCTGTCGTGTGTTAACCATATGTCTTTTGTTGAGTTACTCAAGCTCTCTGAGCCCGTTTCTTCACTTGTTCAATGCAAAGCCATACCTCCTAGGGTTGTTGGGTTGTGAGGATTAAGTGATAACGCAGCAGAAGTGTTTGGCATGGAGCCTGGTATGGAGCAAGTGCTCAGTAAATATCAACTCTTAACATCTACCCTGCAGATAGACAGGCACACAATTTGAGAGCTCTACAGAGAGCTCAGATATAACCTTTCTATTTCACTTACAAATGAGGAAACTGAGGCCCAGAAAGGGTAAGAGTTCAAGGTCTCAGAGCGAGGATGCGGTGACACTGTGGCTAGGGCCCAAGTGTCTTGTCTTCCTGTTCGGGGCTTCACCCCTTGCCCTTACTCCTTCCCACCCCCCAACACCCCACCGTCACAGTCCTTACCCTCTGCCTGGGCTCGGTGGTTGTGGAGACCATGACGGAGTTGCAGATGGTGAGGGCAAGGAAGAAGTCAGCGATGGAGGAGGCGGTGGAGAGGGCAGGCTTGGCAGGTCTAGAGTCTGGCAAGGTGTCCAGCAACAGGGCAGCATCTCTCACCTTGGCCAGTAGGCTTTTATCTGGAGTCACATCTTTTTCCTGAGAGAGAAAGGCTTGGGTGAGTTTCCTGAAGGGATGCGGAGGAAGGGCCCCTCCAGCAGGTGTTTGCATGCCTGGGGCAAGGATGACAGTCTTTACCGAACTCTACAATCCTGACGGCTCCCCCTTCCGCGAGACCGGTCACTACAGGTTCTTACTTGATTGCTCCCTTTCCCTCACCCCACGGGTCCATCAGTTATAGGCTCTGGCTATTCTTCCCTTACAATGTCTCCCCACCGTGTGTCCCTCAATCCTGGATTTCTGCATCACCTCTACACTGATGTTGCCGCTCTCACCTCCTTTCCTTCTAGCCCTTCCCACGTATCACCTGTGCATCTTCCTAAAATACCATTTCCCTCGACAGACCTTCAGGAGATCTTCATCATAAGTACTATCAATTTATTGTCATCTTAATGTCTCTGCAGTTCGCATTCCAACGCTCTGATCCCACCACTTCTTCTTCTTCTTTTTTTTATCCTCACCTGAGGATATTTTTCCATTTTTTGTACAGACAGAGTGGGAGGGAGAGAGAGGAAGGGAGAGAGAGAGAGAAACATCGACGTGAAGGGACACATCAAGTGGCTGCCACCTGCACGACCAACCAGGGCCGGGGACAAACTGCAACCGAAGTACGCGCCCTTAGCGGGAACCGAACCCGGGTCTCTCCGGACCACAGGCCGACGCTTTAACCGCTGAGCCAAACTGGCCAGGGCTGATCCCACCACTTCTTGATGCAGACCCTCAGCTTCGCCCGGTGGTCTGTTGGCTGTCTCCTGGATGAATACTCCCATTCTAAGCCTCTGATCCCACCATGTTTGAAAAGTCCCTTCCTGTCTACCAAAGTCCTGCCTTGATTTCAATAACCATGAGAGGTCCCATGTGTTCATGAGATCGTATCCAGCCCACAAAGAGTTCTCTGTCTGCTGAGCCCCAATAGCAGGCTCTGAACTCAGAACGTGCCCGGAGTCAGGCAGGTAAGGGGACGGAAGGAAGGGGGCCAACGCACAGATGAGGACACTGGGATGGTGGGGACTCTGAGACCTGGCCAGTCCCTGCTCATCCAAAAGATGGCAACTGCTCTGCTGGTGAAATGCTCCAGTACTGGTCAACTTGGCCAAATCTCTTGATTTTTTAAGATAAAGCAGAGTTGATGTGAGAATTGTCATTATTATTTAAAATCTGTGGGCCGATCTGACTCATGGGTTTCCAATTTTTGACATCTTTGTAGAAGTTGCCCCTTGTGAGTCCTTTGGCATTCACTACATATTGACGTGTTTTAACTCAGATTTCTTATGTCCTCTCTACAGATGAGGCTAGAGCCTCAGAGAACAAGATTTACCACAAAGCTGTACCTTCCAGAGCTCCGGCTTCAGCTCTCAATGGTTAGCTATGACAAAGGCCACTCTGCAAAGAATTTTTCATATAAGACCATTCCTATCAGTGTTCAGAGTTCAAAGCTTAGAAGAAAGAGAGTCAATGGCTGAAAAAGAGGGACCGAAGGACTCTTGAGTGGTTCACACAGGATGAAGACCAAGAGCCAATGAGCTAGAAGGCTTTACACACGAAAACCCAAGGTGAGATTTTTAAAAAATCCTGTGGGGAAAGAGTCTGCAGATGGTCTCCTCTGACTATCACATGCAGTAACTCCGGAAGTCAGGCTCTGTCCTCCCTGGGCTGCTGGCACAGCGAGAGCCACAGGGCAGGAGACCAGACACAAGGCGGAGGGGCGAGAGCTGGGTTTCCCAATAGCGCAGGGCGAGGAAAGGAAATGGGCTGGAGACATGGGGGAGAACACCCTCTTCAGAGACTCAGCCCTCGTTGGAGGGCTCTGCCAACGTCAGCACTCAAACTCCATCCTGTTCATACTGTTTTAAGAAGACAACATGCAGAAAAAAGTCTATTTATCAAAAAGAAGATGCTAGCTGTTAGTAGAACTGCATCGTCTGCGTTTCCTTTCATTGCCCAGTAAGTACTGGTGAACTACCCACTCCACGCGGTGTCGCTGTTTTCGGAAAGTTGGGAAGACAGCACACACCATCCAAGCTCTCTGCCTCTGAGTCCGGTCTTTGTAGCAAGTGCTCACGTCGATGACAATGCCATGTGTGTGACCTCACTGGGTTGTCGCAGTCCCAAGTTGAGATGAACGCAGTCCCAACTTAATTGAAACTCAAAGAGATGGGCTGACTTGAGTGATGTCGCCCAGTGAGTTGGGATAAAGCTAGAATCAGATGTCAGGCCCCTTTGATGGCGAGTCTAGGGTTTTTCCTTTCTGTGGTCATGGTAAAATAGCTATGTTCCCTTATTCAAGTTCCCCTGCAAACTCCTCTAACCAGCTTCTAGGCTCCATCCAGTGCCTGCCATCAGTTTTCCCCTAGGCCATTTCTTGTAATAGTAATGGGGGTTCCTCCAGGTGTAGGGTATATCTGTCCCCTCATTGCACCCCCGGCAACATTGTCTGTTGGGTGCTATGATCCTCCCAGGCACCTCTGTGTTTCAGATGAGGAAACTGCTCTCCAGGGAGAGTACGTGTTTCACCCAAGGTCACACAGTAGATGGGAGAGATTCCTTCAGTTGATTCGAGAGACTCTGACTCTAGAATTCATGCTCTCAACCTCCATGGCAGGGAAGGTCCCTATGAGAAGAAAGGGCTCGGATCCTTGCTGCCCGCCAGCCAGCGTCTTTAGCATCTGGCATCCCAAACTCAACTGATGGGCTTGCATATCTAATCCTAAGGGCTCGGCAGACAGTCCACGAGATGAGAGAGGGATTATGTGAATCCTCCTTGTGCAGGAGACAGATTTCACCGGTGGGGGTGGGGGGGTGGTATATGAATGGGATGCGTTTAATTCTTACCACAGATACCCAGAGTTGGGGAGAAGCTTGGAGGTCTTCAGAGCCACACCCCCTACTTTCCTGATGGTAACAGAGTGCCAGAGAGAAGGGAAGGGAACTATTCAAATTTACACATTGAATTAGGGTCAGAACTAGGGCAGCTTCTCATCACCTGACTCCCAGCTTCCGACAACACACTGCTTGGCTCCGAGCGATGCAGTACGTATTTCTAAACGGTGACACGGTTAAAATGATGTGATGGTTACTTACTCATGTCCGCTTACCCTCCAGTCTAAGTGCCATGAGGGCAGAGCCTGTGATATGTCCCCAGACGACAGCCACTCCAACCTTTGTCAACTCGCTCCTATCTGGGACACCCCATTACCTCACCATGAGTTAACTCAGGGGGCCTCTTTGTCAAAACTCTTCTTTAGCTCATTTCCACCCAATCACAGTGATGCATTGAAGAAGATCTCTGCAAAGGTCCTGCTTCTCTCCGGTGCTGGCGGCAGGCCCAGCCCACAGGGTCAGCCACAGATGTCCCCTAAGCTTCATCCAGTCACCCCAGACTTGTCTTCGCAGGGCAAGGTTCTCCACGGTTCCCTTTGCCCACAGCCCACTGGTTTCCTGTCTGTCCATCAACATTTAGGGACTTGGCACTTGGGACAGTTAGAGAGAAAATAGAGCCCTACCCACCTTTGGGCCCTTCGGTTAGTTTATTTCTTTAAAGGAAAAGAAACAGAAACTCGAGGGGTCACCAGTTGTCCCCATCAGTGCTTCCTGGCCGCCAGGCACCCAGCTGGTGGGACTTTTTCCTTTTTTTTTTTTATCCTCACCCGAGGATATTTTTCCATTTTTTGTACAGATAGAGTGGGAGGGAGAGAGAGGAAGAGAGAGAGAGTGAGAGAAACATCGACGTGAAAGGGACACATCGAGTGGCTGCCACCCGCACGACCAACCAAGGCCGGGGACAAACTGCAACCGAGGTACGCGCCCTTAGCGGGAACCGAACCCGGGTCTCTCCGGACCGCAGGCCGACGCTCTAATGGCTGAGCCAAACCGGCCAGGGCGGGATTTTTTCTATTGCAGGAGACCTGAGGCTCTTACAAACCCTCTCCAAGGAAGGTGCTCTCAGATCTCACCTGATACCCACAAGGATCCTATTATTATCATCAAATACATTTATTGACAACTTAGAGCAAAGTCGGGTGCTTTGCTTAATACTTTTGTGCACACCCTTTAATCATCAGAACAGCACCGAAACAGTTACTATCAGTCTCCCATTTTAATTAAGAGGTAACCGAGTCTCCCCGAAGTTCAGCAGCTCGTCCAAGGTTCCAAATCAACACAAGAGCTGGGGTTTAGGTCCAGTTCTGCCATCACAAGACTGAAACCCTTGAACCCGATGCCGGCGCTTCCCCAGCTGAAGGTGCACACACATCAACCGGGCATGTTGTTGAAACAGACGCTGACCCAGCAAGTCTAGCGCGGGGCCCGAGCATCTGCCTTTCCACCCGCTCCCAAGAGGTGCTCACACCACTGGCCTGAGGACCACTGTGGGAGCAAAGATGCTGAGCTATATAGAACCGGCAGAGGCGGGAGGAAGCAGACGCTCTCTTTATTGGTGTCTAAACTGCTACAGGGAAGTGTCAATCAAAGAAAAAAGTGCACACACTCACAATTTAGTAGCAATGCTCTAAGAATAAGTACTCTCTGCCCTGGCTGCTTTGGCTCAGCAGTTGCAGCGTTGGCCCGTGGACCAAAGAGTTTCGGGTTCGATTCCGGTCAAGGGTATGTACCTTGGTTGGGTTTGGTCCCTGGATGGGATTGTATGGGAGGCAACCAATTGATGTGTCTCTCTAACATCGATATTTCTTTCTCTCTCTCTCACTCTCTCTCCCTCCCTCCTGCTCTATCTCTAGATAAATGGAAAAAAATACCCTCTGGTGAGGATTTAAATAAATAAATAAATACTCTAGAAAAACTCACACACATATATAAACAGACGATGACTCAACCACCCAGCAAATACTAACAGCCATTAAAAAAGGATGAGGCAGGGCTCTACTGAATGTGTGTCGGTCTGTCTACATACACGGTTTACAGTTGTTTGTATGGAAAGTAACACAGTTAATAAGTAACAATACAAGAATAAACTCTGTTTTGGG